CTCTGCGGCAAGAGCGTCGCTTACCAATCCGATGGTTATGGGTTCGAATCCCAGCAATGATCATGTTTTTTTTCTAATCTAACTTGGTGGTTCCATCCTTGGGGAATGATATATAGGAGGCCGGACTTTACCAAGTGATTCCGTTATAATATATGTTAAATAATAAGGGTCTTATTACATTTTAATAAATTTTAGTCGGTATTTAGCAAATTTGGTTGGTATTTAGAAAATTGCTATACGTTGACTTGGTAATGTCTATCATTAACCAAAAATTTTTACCTAGAATTTGCAGTTTAGTCAAACACCTTTTTAAGTAATAATATAATATGATTTTAAAGGGATAGGTTCTAAATCGCTAAAACAAAAATCGCTAAAAATTGGGAACAAGGCTTATATCTCCTAGAAAATTTTTAAAGTAAATTTGAAATTAATATTAATAGATACTAGGGGACTAAACACTTGTATTTAAATTGAAAATTTAAAAAAAATCGCTAAAATGGAAGAAATATCATCCAAATTCCCAATTTAAGTATTAAACCTATCACTCTCAAATTAATTACATATATTTTATTTTTTAAAAGATTTGAACATATATATGAAGATCAATATGTTCTTTCTGCAATTATACTTCCAATATTCAAGTTTCAATGGCCATGATAAATCTTCCTCAGAACGAACCTATAAAAAATAAACTTATAGCGTTATTGAAAAAATGCATTGAAAACCCTAGAAATGATAATGCAAGAACTGTTAATTTCGAGATATCCTTTTTTTGTCGAGGAAGTAAAGAATGGATTGGAGGAGGATAACTTATCTCAATTTTTTGAAGCAAAGAATAAAACAATAAATGTTTTTAATAAATTCCCCACGTTAAAAGAGTTGTTAATCAATTATTATACCGCAACCCCCTCATCTGCCATTGTAGAGCGCGTTATTAGTATAGCTAATGCCGTATTAACTCCAAGCGTCCCTCTCTATCAGATGAAAATTTTGAAAAATAATTCTTATTAAAAATTAATAAGAAAATTTTTTTATGAATGCTATATTATATGGTATTTATAATTATATTATCAAGATAAAACTATATTATTTTTTAACAAGGCTAATATGGGCCATTCCACGTCAAATCGATAACAATTCTCCCGACCCCTTTTAAAATTGTTAAAAATTTCAGGAATTATTTAGATAGGTAAATAAATGAGAAAGCCGTTTATTTTAGCTTGCTAGCACACCTGGTTCTCGAGATATAGGGGCTAATAGGTTCAAAAAAGAGCCTTTTTGGAATCTGTAAAATTTTTAAAATGATTATATCTCAAAAACTATTTATAGTAAAAAAATATATCATATTGTAGGTCAAAAAAATCTCTAAAGGGTTATTAAAAAATATAAAATTGGCGCCAAGAAGAAATTATGGATTATGGTTAAAATTTAGCTGCTAACTTATCAATAACTGGATATTTACACTTTTTATACTAAAAAATTTGGAATTTCTATTAAATATACTAATTAAACTGAGGGGTGTGGGCTAATGCCCATTAGACACTTAATAATGTAACAAATTTTCAATAATAAATTTCTTTCATAATGAATATATAGAAATATAGATAAAATCATATTCATTCCATAATTTAAAATATATTTGAAACAAAATTTAATTAGTCCAATTTTAATATATGAATGAATATCTTTAAATTTAAGATATGGCTCTCGTAAATTAATTAAAATTAATCTTTTTTGGACTTGAATCTTTTCACCAGTTTTTATTATATAAACAAAATCCCTTTTCCCTAGCATCGATCTACTATATTCAACATTGCTACAAAAAGTTTTGACAACAGCAAAGGTGGTGGCATCTATTGTCTTGCCTGGTTTAGGATTCGGCGTTCCCTTTTCTTTTATTAAACCTTTTGATTTTAACGCCATATGATATGAAATATTAAATTCTTTTACAATATTTCTTACTGTCTAATTTGATGGTAATAATATAAATAATCTATATTTATTTGTAATTGACAGCTGTGGGAAATTGATTTTTAAGGTATCTAGAATTTCATCGAATTTTTCATCACTTGATGAAGATAATGGTATAATTTTAGTCGTTAAAACTTTTTTTTACACTAGATATTTTTTTCTTCGAATATTTCTTTTTACAAAAGCGTTTTCTTATAATGGAATGGGCGTATTGATTGTAGATATATTAATGTTGTCAATAGCCTCTTGATTAATTATATGAGGGGGAGAATCAATATCTACATTGTCATTTGAAGTTTTAGGAATGTTTGCTAATTTTTGTCGGCATGAAAAGCATATTAACATATCTAAATTGAATGGTAATTTTGAGTCATCCAGGATAGAATCTTTCTTAGATTTTTGCGATAATAAGCATGTCTTTGTAGATTAAATGGGTTGCAACATTTTAATATTTGGTTCATCCATCTGTGATATAGAATAAAATTTTAATTTATCTGCACCTAGAATATATGTTTTTGCACTCCAAATCCCGGATGTTATTGGTAGACAGACGATAAAATAATAAGCTGCAGACGGTTTGAATTATTTTAGAATAATCTGAACGGACAAGTTAAAAATATTACTCAGAAAGAGAGATTGCTTTAAACAGTTTATTTTGTAAAATAATATCCTTAAAATATAATCGATAATATGCCTAATAAAATAGTCGTTTTTACTGCAGCTGTTATACATTTTCGAGCTAATAAGTCATTCGCTATCGTAGCAAAGTAGATATCAAAAAATGTAAAACTTTTTAAGGATGGTGTAAGCATTTTAAAAATTTTACAGATTCCAAAGTGGCTCTTTTTTGTACCTATGAGCTCCTATATCCTGAGTAGTGTTGCTAAACGGCTAAGCCGAGTCGACTTAGCTGCGACTCGAGCCTAGTTTCTAGTCGATAAAACGACTTTGACTCGAGTCGACTAAATGAGCCGCATTGGTCGGCTCGTGTAGTTGGCTCACTTAGTCGGCTCGTGTAGTCAGCTCACTTAGTCGACTCGCTGGGTCTGCTCAATTTTTTTGTTTTTTTCTAAAATTTTATTTAAACATGTTAGCAATGCTTATTTGAGCCCATTTACGTCAAAAAAATTCAAAAAACTTTAAAAACAACGATTATGACAATTGTCACTTATCTAGGGTTCATCTTCACTAAAATTTTATTTAAACATGTTAGCAATGCTTATTTTAGCCCATTTACGTCAAAAAAAATCGAAAAACTTTAAAAACAACGATTATGACAATTTTCACTTATCCAGGGTACATCTTCACTAAAATTTTATTTAAACATGTTAGCAAGGCTTATTTTAGCCCATTTACGTCAAAAAAATTCGTAAAAACTTTAAAAACAACGATTATGATAATTGTCACTTATCTAGGGTTCATCTTCACTAAAATTTTATTTAAACATGTTAGCAATGCTTATTTTAGCCCATTTACGTCAAAAAAATTCGAAAAACTTTAAAAACAACGATTATGACAATTTTCACTTATCCAGGGTACATCTTCACTAAAATTTTATTTAAACATGTTAGCAAGGCTTATTTTAGCCCATTTACGTCAAAAAAATTCGTAAAAACTTTAAAAACAACGATTATGACAATTGTCACTTATCTATGGTACATCTTTACAATATAAATTATATTTTTATGTTATAAAATTAGGTATATAACCCTTGAAGCCGAATTCGGGCCCTGAACCATTTTTAGTTACGACATGAATATTCTTATTATAATTTTGTACTCATTAATCAGTAACCCAAAATTTAATTTACCAGATTTTATAAAAAAACAAAAAAATTGAGCAGACCCAGCGAGTCGACTATACGAGCCGACTAAGTGAGTAGGCTCATGCGGCTCCTTGATCGGCTTGAGTCAGAGCCGTTTTCTACGACTCGAGTCGCAAGTCGTAAGAACTCGACTTTTTAACAACACTAATCTCGAGAACCAGGTGTGCTAGCGAGCTAAAATAAATGGCTTTCTCATTTATTTACCTATCTATATAAATCCAGAAATTTTTAACAATTTTAAAAGGGGTCGGCTGAAAGTGTGCCTTTTTTGATCGATTTGACATTGTTAAAAAATATTAGACATTTATTTATATTAGATTAAATTTAAAAAAAAAGTTTTTCATAAAATTTTATGAACGTGAACGCGTTCCTTTTTTTTGAAAGTGAACGTGAACGCGTCTAATTTTTTTAGAAATGGTTCACTATAAAATAATCATACATCAACTTTGGGATTTAATATTATTGAAACTTAAAATGTAATTATAATTATTTTTAATATAATTAAATTTATGGATTTTATTATTAGATAAAAATAAATACAATAATAATGTATTCCTTTATTATTGAATATATCTAATAATTTAATTTATATAAGTTATTTATATCATAAGAAAATGAATCTCACTTCAATTAATAGAGTATACATCAAAAAACTTTACCTAAGCATTTGCAGTTTAGTCAAACCCATGATTAAATATTTAAAATAATTTCTGGTTAAAATTTAACATAATTTTAGGTTATAAAAAATAATAATCTAATAGGGAATCTTTATAGATCAGTATTAATATCGCATTGCTCCTGATAAATATAAAATTATGTCAATTAATATGAACATTTTCATTAGACATATAATACAATATTTATACTAATTATTAAAGGGTTAAATATAAAATGATTTGGGCTGTACCACACTAAAAGACCGCCTCAAGTCAAGAACTGATAATCAGTCTGATATCGATCGAATATAAATAAGATTGGAGGATTGGCTTTCTTTAAAAATGATCATTTATTCCAAATCCTAAAACCATCTTAACTCCCAAACCGTTGATCACCTATGATATGGAACTCCTCTTATGAGTTCTGTTGCCTAAAGAATGTTTTACTACCATTAGTGTTTAACACAAATAACCTAACTTTGTTTAAATGTCATATATATATTAATGAATTTATATATCTTTATAATCAAATTCACTTTATCAATCAGTCCATCATAAGTTCACTCAACCCAATAATATTTATACTACTTGGCAATTTTCTGTTGGAAACCTATCGAGTGTCTTTCGGATCCAATTGGCTCGTCAAGGCTAGAGAACCCATATTCCCGTGGCTAAATATTACGCATTTATGGGATTCGTTTCGCAGGTATATATATATATGCAAACATACCTTTATTATATATTAACTTGATTATTAACGATGGGTATATTACATTTTATTTATTCACGATTATTGTAAAACTTGTCTTTATAATCTACTATGGCTATGTAATTTGTTCTATATTTTTATTGGGGCACAACAGTATATTTTTTTAAACTTTTTATTATTATTTTATCTATATAATTTTTATAAAAAAACGCGAATGATAATTCATAAAGGATCAAAAATAAAGCATAATTTTTAAATATTTTTTACGCGAAAATAAAAATGTTAGTTTTCTTCTTTTTCATATAAAAATATAATACATCCTTGAAAACATTGCAAATAAAAATCAATTAGCCCCAAAAAATATAAATATTCAGCAAAATTAAGTAATAAGAATCAAAAATCCAGGCCAAAATGATACATTTTAAGCTTAACTATAAAAAAATCAATCAGCGTATAAAAACTTAATAAATTACTCACATATAGTCCAAGAATTATTTTTATGTTCCTTCTTTTTCTCACTTCATACACCCTCTCTGATCTTCAGTGATAGCCGTTGCAGTATTGTTACAGTTGAATCAGAGTGACGATTATAACATTGCTGTCCACTTTTTTTCGCGCCTTTTGTAGTACCAGTAATAGATTTGTTGTTATCTTGATATTGCGTCGTTCCAATTTTACGTTATCGGACAGACAATGTTCGTGGCTGATAGTTTGATATTGATTACACGATTGTTTACATCCGTTATATTGGTTGTTGATTATCGGTGAGATTTGATTCTGGTTGAGTTTGTAGACCTGTATTGAAATCTACGCCTTCATTAACAATGAACTTTTATTCTAGGCTTATTATTTAAATTTACAATTCTTACCCAAAAAATTAATTACAAAAACTTTTATAATTTAAAATTATTTTAAAAAAACCGATTCAAAACAAAAATTTTTAACTAATTATTTCATTTTACTTTATCCTTTTATTATTTCTAACCTTTTTTCATTAAAAAAAATGAATAGGTGAACCATTAATCATTATTTCCACATATTCAATTCTAAACCCAATTGTTGATTAACCTATTTACTGATTTTTTTTAAAAAAAAACTAGCGATAGCGCTAGCACATTACTTTTTAAAGTAGGGCTTAACAACTCTGGTTCATTCTAATTGGTATTTATCATAATAACATATAAATATGATTTTTACGTTTATTGAAAAAAATTATAAAAAATTAATTAAAACTTTTATTAAAAATATTAGTTAGGCAATAAATATAAAAGAGCGAATACGGTCATAATTCGTCTGTCTAGAATTGGAGTGCTCCACTTGCGCAATTGTTTGAAATGAGAAAATCAACATTAAAGTTTAAAATCAAATATAGGAAAAACTTGTCAATCAATTTAATTAAAACTTTCACAAATAATTTATCATATTTATTAATTAATTATAATCTCAAAAATTTAAATATAAAATTTATTTGATAAAATCAAAATGCAAGTGAAGAAATATAATGCTTTATGATTTTTTTTATTTAAAATGCTCCAATTACATTTTTTTATTAGAATTTAATAAACTCAAAATAATCAAATCATCAAATTAACACTATTTCTTTATTTTTTCTAATTTATTCTAACAATTAATAAAAATGAATATGAAATAAAATAAATATTTAATTAATAATTTTTTCCATACATTCTCTATCAGCTGCATACTATAACATTGTATTAGCTAAATAATGTTTTAAAGCATAAATTATAATTGAATTTTTATTTTGGGCCACACAGGAATCAGCCCACTGGAAAATTTTTTAATATCACAATGCTACCATACTGCAAGCAATATCATTACCAGTTCTTCCAGCTTGGTCTTGATGCTAAATGGCACAATACCCACATTTGTCTTGACTACAATATAGTTTCACTATAAACAGGCAATTTTCTTTTATAATATGAAGACCCATCAGATCTTGGTAATGTTATAACATTTTGAAGGTCAAATGATATGACTAAAATTTTTTGACTTGTCTATAATTTTATCCATACCTCTTTCAACACTAGTTTAAACATAATCTTTATGGTGTTTATTGTAATTACAAATATCTTGTTCATTCATCTTTATTAATTAAATTATCCTTTTTCATAAAAAATAAAATTATTATCATATCAAAGAAAAAAAAAGGATGTCAGTCATAATGCTACCAACTTTTCACCATAATAAAAATATTGATAAAAATGATTCAAGCAAGCCTGAAATGATAACATTTTATAATATGACTAAAGGTAGGTTAGATATAGTGTATTGAATGACAAAAAATGATACAATTTTAAGAAGGTCTTACACACTTCTTAATAATATCAATTAATTCACATAATATAACAAACACAAAAATATCCACTACAAGGAATAATTTCGTATATAAAATTATTAATTAAACTTATAAAGCCGTATTTAGAAGTATAACAAAAATTATCAGATTGTCCTGACTTTTGAAGTAATCCATATGCAATATATTAGGAAATGAAAAAATGAAATATATTTTTCAAATATGGGGAAAAAAATTATGTTTGGAGCATATTAATGCTTTATGTGATACGTCAAAATTAACTATCTCAATGTCCTATATTTTTTTATGTTTGAATGTATAAATCTTGTTTTATATTGAAGAATAAATATCAAAATAATGAATTATAATAACTTTTAAAAACAATTATTAATAAAAAATTTACCTTGACATTAAAATAATTTAGGATAGATATGGAATGAAAATATTTTACAATTCAATATGAAATGGCAAAAAATTAAAAAAGGAGAGAAATACAACTCATGATTTAATAAGATAATAGGATAGGCCATGCATATGAAGCAAAAATTACATCGTTATATGCAAATAGCATAAAATTGACAGTGCTATAACTTTGGCAAAAATTAATATTTTTTAATTTAGTTTATATATATATTGGGAATAAATAAGTTATTATCCACTTTTAACTCAAAATTTTGAAAATGTCGAATGGAGTACTCCAATTCTAGACCGACGAATTATTGTTATATAAAAGTAAATTTTTAAAAAAAGTTTAAATATATATTTTACTTTTATCCTCTGAATTTTACTTTAAAAAAAATTTAGATCGTTAGGGTAGTAATTAGTTGAGCTGCCTAACCCTCTTTTTTTGATTTCTTTAAAGGACGCCACTAATTATTGTAAAACAAGTTTGTCTTTATAATCTACTATATGACTATGTACTATATTTTAAATAGGACGCAACAGTATTTTTTTAAAACTTTTTATTTATAATTTTTATCAATAAAAACGCGAATGATAATTCAAATGGGAACAAAAATAATATATAATTTTTAAATATTTTTTACGCGAAAATAAAAATGATTTAGTTTTCTTCTTTTTCATATAAAAATAAAATACATCCATGAAAAGCAAATAAAAATCAATTAACCCCCCCAAAAAAAATAATCAACAAAATTAAGTAGTATTATGAGATTACAACAATGATTAGGAATGAATAATAATGATTTAATTGCGATTTATTTTTAAAATTAATCTTAGTCTTTAAAAATAACTCAGTGCCTTAGATTTGTAGATTATTTAAGGCTATTTACACGATAGTTTAAGCTTTTTTAAAACAATATATTTTTACATTTATTTATACATTTTAGAAATTCTCAGTTTTTATACAGTATCATGTCACGCGAAGACAAATTTGTCATGTACGAATTGTTAAGTAAAAAATAAAAATTATAATATATTTTTTTTTGTAAACTTGATTTTTTAAATTTTCATCATTTTGAATGACGAATTTTTAAAATTATGCTATCATTTAAATTGATATAGATTATATTTGTATTTAAAGAAAAATATATTAGACGACTGATTCGAACAGGGACTATATAATTTATATTTATTGACTAAATAATTAGCAATTTTAAGGTCAATTATTTATTAAAGAATCGTTATAATTACTTTATGACACACACTGACAGAAATGGGCCATTCTTCCTACTCTTGGAATTGTGGTCATTATAGATTTTATTGTAAAAGAGTATAGTTGGTCATTATAGATTGCAAAAGCTAGTATAGTTTCCTAAGTAAATGCCAATTTTTTTAATCTTAAAAAAATAGACCTTACCTCTTATTTCCCCCCTACTCAAAAATCAGTTTACTCATTTAATATAAAATGATATATATCTATAAAATTTTATAAGCCATTAATGTGTCCTTTACAATTACAAATATCCAAATATTGTGATTTAATACCTGGTTAAGATAAAAAAAATTTTATACGAACATCACACTTTATATGATAAATTTTAATGTTTATTAACTCTTAAATGTTATATAAAATTTTTAATTTGCTGTAGATATGGTTACTTGATTTATTAAAAATTTTATTTATTTAACGATACTAAATTAGGGCTGTCCCAATTTTTTTTTCATTGATCCGATTGAAAATATTTTATAAAAACCTATCATCCGATATTTTGAGTAAAAAATATTTGTGGATTTATTTTTTTAATTTTTAGCCTTTTCATTTTATTTATAGATTGTTCTCTATTAGTTTCTCTTAAAAAATAGTATCTAAGGATTTTTATAATTTAATTTTAAAATGTTTTCTTCTTAAATCTAGTAGGTCAAGGTTTATGTTATAAGAAAAAAGTAAAAAAAATTTTTTGGATATTTTATACAGTATTGATTCAATCTTCTGTAAACATTATATAATCCAATATTAAGATTAATCCATAAGTATGATCTTGAATATTTTATTTAAATTATATAAAACAAGTTAACCATTTTTTTTGGAAAAAAAACAAACCTTATTTTTTGATAAATATATTGTCTTTAATATAATTTAATATTTCCAATTCAATTTCATTAGCCTAATTATTTTTTAGAATATATATTATTAAAACTAAAATAATTATCCTCTTCAATAAAAGAGCGTGAATATGTAGGCGTGCCAAATGCATTCTTTAGCGGCACTATAGGTATGGGGGCACAGTGGCTCAAGCCCCTGAAAATTTTGAAATATTTTTACAAATACCTTTAAAAAAGAAGCTATTTTGAAATTATTAGCTAAAGGAAAGTTATTTTCAAAGATATTATTTTAAGAAAAAATTCTGAACCCCACATAATTGTAAAGGCTAGTAATGCCACGGGCTTTCCCTTAAAAATAGCATGCGCTTTATCAAGCAACCTATTTTACAAATATATTTTTCTATCATCATTATCAACTTATTTAATTTAGAACATTTGAAATGGTGGCTAAAAAGAAATTTTCATAATTAAATTATATTTCCAATCGTTTATTCAATTCAATTTCGATAAGTTGTTGAAAAAACTTAATTCCATTTGAAGTAAATCATGTATACTTGTTTTTATAACAAAATTAAAATCCAATTCCTAATTTATTAAATATTAATATTAATAACCTTAAAATAATTTGATTATTATGTGTGGAAGATATCATTAGGACGTTATTAATTATTGGTGAAGAAATTGAAAAGAATGTTTAATAGTTTAACTCGGATTTACATTAAATTAGAGGTGTACCGCTACCACTTTTTGGTGGCTGATCCTATCCGATATTGAAATGATATCGGCCGATTACCGATTCGATATCACAATTCTGTAACATGTTAAACATTTTAATTTTTAATGCATGCATCTAGTGATGCAAAATCTTTCCATTTGAGTTGATTTTTTAACCAGAAAAGTATTATGTAAACCTGAAGATTTACCTCATAGATGGCAGAAAGTTTTGGACATTTATTAGCGAAATCTCTAGGCCTAGGCAACATTTTTTGGCTAAAATATTGAGTTAGCCATTTTTAAAAATTGGCTCAAATGGAGCCATTTTTACTCATCTCATATTTAATCGTATTACACCTATAATTTAACTGTACCATAATATAAGTCATTTAAATATTATAATGAACAGTTATAGTTTAATATAAAATATTTTTATAGATAAATCATCACCTATTTAGATAATAACATTAATCCATTTACATAAATATATTATGAAATTTGAAATAGACTTTTTAAAATATCGATTATCTATCACTATATAATCGATATTTTAAAAAGATGAAATATCGGCCCAATCTGATCTGATAAAAAATATCGGTACTTCCCTACATTAAATATTTAAATTTTTAAAATAAATAAGCATTTGAATATATCAAAAAGTAATTTTTACAAATAGTTTAAGATAAGATACTCATTTTTAAAAATGTATTTAAAGATATAGATACAAGATACTACTTTCAAAATTCACCAAAATATATTTAAGATACAAGTATTTGCGATACTACCCAACCCTGAATATAGTGAATAAAAAATATTTTTATTTATTATATCAATATAAATTTATAATATTCTAAATTGTGTTCAAAAACCCTTGATATAAATTTTAAAATAATAGTAATTAGATTATAATTTCAAAGAATCACATTAAAAATAAATAAATTAAAAAAGATAGTAACTATTTTATATCTATTAGGGGTATACCGATACCACTTTTTGGAGGCCGATCAGATCCGATATTCCCGATATTAAATTGATATCGGCCGATTACCGATCCCATATCATATCTAATTTTGTATTCTGTAAAGATACCAATAGTTTTAATTTTTAATATATTTTTTATTAGTATAACATCTATAATTTAATTATACCATAACATATGTCATTTAAATATAATAATGATCAGTTATAGTTTATATACAATTCATTTGCAATTCTAAAAGTATATAAAATATATTTATTGATAAATCACTTATTTATATAATAAGTAATAACAATAATCTATTTACATAATAAGTGATAAACAAATATATTATGAAATTTGAAATAAATATTTAAATTAATATTTAAAATTAATATATCAAAGATTTCTTTTTAGAAATACCAAAATTTTTAATTTATCAGAGGTCAGTCTGTGGTGGTGGGGACTGTCAATATCACTAGCTTCACTAAAAACCAGAGATGTGAACCCGACTGAACCCTAGTATTTTGGCTGAACCCGGACCCTTTTTAAAAGTGGAGGGTCCAAGGGTTCTAGGTGTCATAAAAATATTTTTTTAAAAAATAATATAAATTTTATTAACTTTTTTTGTGGAATCATTTATTTTATCTTCGCGTTTTTCTTTCACTTTTCTTCCTGGACTTCCATTTTATTTAGAGATTGATATCATAAATTATTTTCCAGTGTAATAATATTTTATTATGTAAATTTATTAATATGCTATGTTATAGAAATACGTTGATTATTTTGAAAGTGAATTATTTTGTAGTACAAGTAATAATATTTTAATTTAAATGATAATGCACAACACGATGATCCTCAATTTATATGATATGAAGCTAGATCGATTATTAAGTTTGAAAGATTTCTGTAATGATTTTATTATAGGCATGTAAAGTCATTTTGTCGGAAGATGATTGGTGCCAAATAGGGGACCTTACTAATGTATTAGTTCCTTTAAAAATAACAATAATAAGATTACAATCAGAACAATTATGTTTATTTGATTTTAGGCATATGGATTAGATGCCGATTAGATTTAGAAAACAGTCCTTATACGAAATATTAGAAAACATTAAAATTCGAGTTCAACGATATTTACAAAATAGTGTTGTATACTTCTATATATTTAGACCCTCGATATCAAGTTTTATTGAGTATTGAGCAATAACAAATGGTTAAAGACCATCTTAAGGATTTATTGCATAAGCAACTCCATTATATACAATATATTGGAGGGTACGACAATACCTATTGGTTGTAGTGTTAATAATAATGATAGCAACATTGATGATCTTGAAATTTTACTTTTAGATATAGAAAAAAAAATCAAATTATCATCAGATAGAAAGGAGGATCAAAAAATGCCTATTGCATCTTTAATAGTAAAGTTCTCAGAAGTTAAGAGAATAGGGATATAAATATTTTAATATTCTGGGAAGAAAATTCTTCAATATATCCAGAATTATATATTTTATCTAGAATCTTCATGAATGTACCGGCGACACAAGTACAATAATTTTATAAAGATAATCATCTATTTTAGGTATGGGTAGAACGTGAATTTTCATCTTTGAAATATATATTGTGGAAATCTCAAGGATGATATTTGAGGATATTATGATTGTGCGACAATAAAACATTCAAAATATAAATTATTTCATTTGTAAATTACGAATATGTATGTCGTATTGGGATATGGAATCTCGTGGGATTCGGAATCCCAACGTGGGGATTCGAGATCTTGAATCCCCACGTTTTTTTTGGAATCTTTTTTTTAAATAAAAAAAATATTTAAATATTTTAGCTTTATATAAAAATTTTAATATTTGGAGAATTTAATAAAATCTTTCTTTTCTTTCTTTCTTAATACTTTAAGTGATCTTTCTTTTCTTTCTTTCATTACTTTCCTAATTTTTTATTTTAATATTTGGAGAATTTCTTATGAATTTAATAATCATCTGTATACATTTTAATACAATATTTCAATTTAATGAATAAAATTGACTCGTTTATTACTATATTTCGATATTTTTATTTTGTATAAATTTCAATAATATATTTCAATTTATTTCGAATTAACCCTTCCCAACAAAGGTTAAAAAAATCACTTAAACTTTAAAGATGAAAATTTAAGATTTTATGCTAATTTTCCTAAAATTGCTTAGATTTTAAGACTATATTTCAATTTAATGAATAAAATTGACTCATTTAATACTATATTTCGATATAATAAAAATATGCTACATTATTTTAAAAAATTATCACCAAATAATACTATATTAATTTAAAATAACATAAAAAAAATAACAAAAAAAATAATATACCCGACTTAAGCAATAACCCATATTTTAATTTTTCTTTCTTTCTTATTACTTTCCTAAAATTTTTGAAAAAAAAAAATTGAAAAAACGAAAAAAACAACACCAATTTTTTTTTAAATCTAGCTATTTTTTTTATATAAAAAAATAAAATTAAACTCTATTCATTTTTTTTCATCGTTTTTAAAAATTATTAAATTATATTTTTTTAAATATTCCGAATCTCCCTAATTGGCTAAGCAAATCTAATTAAAAATAAACTTAGTACTCTATTCATAAACTAAATAATATAATTTTCAAAAAGGCTAAAATAAGGGATTCAAATTAAAGCAATAATGAATGAAAAGGGATAAGATTGACATTTTTGTTTTTGTAAGTTTATATAAAATCAATCACTTGACAAACCATAATATTTTTAAAAATTCTATATTTTGAAAAATTTGCTAAGTCTATTTTTATAACACTTATTTTTTATGGAATAAAATAACTCCAGTCTTCCGTATTAGATTGAAACAATCTAAGTTTTATATGATCAGATTAGCTTCTGCTTATAGTTATTCCACACATAGCCCTTACAAAAACAAATTTCCAAACTTTTTAAATCGTCTAAAATTAATTAAAAACAGATAGGATGTACACCATAAACTAGGTTTTGAAGATGATTTTTGAATACTTTTTATCAGGGTTGGCAATTCGGTCAATTGACCGGTCAAATTCAGTCAATTGACCGGAGGAGTATTTGACCTGGTCAAATACGGTCAAATACTCCAAAATATTTTAAGTGATAAAATTAATTTCAAAAGTATAAACGGCATGTTTAATAGTTAATTATGTGGAAAGCAGTAATTTCTATAAGAAACAATCAATTCCCACCTAAAGTTAGTGGAATAAACTTTGCCCACCATGCCCATTAAGACTAATAATTACTAGTTATACTTTTTCTTTAGAAAGAAATATGTCGATTTGGGATATTCTTAGGAAAACAGAAATCGATTGAAGATTTCGACATCGGGAAAGATGGAGAGGATTTAATACCTTTGTCTAGATATTTTTTTGGAAAAATGTTTACCCCCACCCTCTCATGATTTAAACCACCAGAAGACATAGATTATAGTTAAAATTGAAGGAAAATGAAAGAAAAATGTTAACAACTCTACGTATGATTATTAAATTCATAAGAAATTCTCCAAATATTAAAATAAAAAATTTTAGGAAAGTAATGAAAGAAAGAAAAGAAAGATCATTTAAAGTAATAAAAAAGAAAGATAAGAAAGATTTTATTAAATTCTTAAGAAATTCTCCAAATATTAAAATTTTTATATAAAGCTAAAATATTTAATAAAAAATATAATAAAAATATTTTTTTTAATTTAAAAAAAAGATTCCAAAAAAAACGTGGGGATTCAAGATCTCGAATCCCCACGTTGGGATTCCGAATCCCACGAGATTCCATATCCCAATACGACATATTGAAGTATAATAATAAATGAATAAAAAAAATCTTATTTTGAGTCTTTATTTTTATGTTCCCTGGACCCGGGTCCTTTCAAATTTTATTCCTGTACCCTTTTTTTTGTCGAAGGGTTCACATCCCTGCTAAAAACAGATTCTGAAGAGATTATTGCATACTTTTATAAACAGAATGCGGAAAAAAATAACATATGGCAGAATGTTTATTAACTAATTATTACTATTAAAAAAATTAAACATAAAAATGGATTTCGATTTTATTTATAAAAATATATGGTTTTATAGATATAACTTTTTTTTAAAATTTTATAATATTTGCCAATAACCGATATTTAAAATGGGTGAAATATCGGCCCGATCTGATATAAAATATCGGTACATCATACATCCATAATATCTATGTATATAATATATAACATTTAATGATTTTTACTTTATACATCTATAATAATAAGCCATACAACAAATAAAATTATAAATATTACAATCAAAAGTGTCTCTTTAAATTTTAAGTTAGAACTTGAAGATTTGAAACTGATATTATACCTTTTGGATACATTTTACATTTGCTTACGATAGAATTACTTCCTTGAATATAGGATACTGCATAGTATTTATTATATTTGGGTCATGGTATAGTGTTATTTCACCTTATTCAGAATCAGATATTGATATAAAAACATCCATACTTATGCTAATTTATAAAATATAAATAATAATATACAAATTAATAAACTATACTATAGGACAAATAGTGGCGGAAAAGATTCAAATGTGATATAAATGATTAAAAATAACCCGTTTTCCTTAAAAAATTCTGATTTATATTTTTTGTTTTCAATGAATAAAAATAATATTTTTAAAAACTGAACAAACGTAAAACACAAAAGGGTTCTTCAAAAAAAAGGAACACGTTCAAAAGTTCTCAAAAATAAAAGGGCCATATTTTTTAAAGAAAAAAACGAACTTCTTTACAACATGAATATTTAGTTTAAAAGTATATTTGATCTAATTGCCTTTTTTAGACCATATATCTGCATCTGAATACATTCAAAATATATACTGATTTACATCGACTTAAGAAAAATAGAAAATAAGAGCCCATGTCAATTAACATCAGCCTAAATTTTATTTTTATCAAATATAAAGTGGTGCTTATATAAACAAAAATCAAAATTTTTATTTATGAGAAATGGTATGGCACTCAAGTTTTTTGATTTTTTTGTTGCTAGAATTGATGATAGACGAATTTTTAAATTACCCCTCCTCCACATCAGTGAATTAAATGTGCTGGAGCTCTCAATTGCAATAAAGTTACATGATTTAATCTATTTTGAAGGGATTAATTGAACCCAAACATTGAAATATGTTTTCGATATATTAAAAATCTTCCAAAAATATGATTATAATCATTTTAACGATGAGCGTTCATTTTTAATACCGGGCAAAACAGAATTGATTAAGTTATTATACTTACTACCTTTTTTTTAAATTTCATTTTAAGTTTTCTTTTCTTTATCATTTGATTTTTAACGAATCTAACAAAAGCAAAACTATTATAAAGGATTGATTGCTTTATGGCCCCTATTAAAATATAATCCTTAAAGTTTATTCAAATTTTTTTATTTATATATTACTCGATTTAATAAAAAATCTCACGACAGGAACGACTGTTCAACACGCCAATTATAACAGCCCGACTCCTACGGATCCCTCCCCCCAGTGCCTGATGGCCAACGACTCCTACATTGAAACCACGTTCAAAACTCTCGTCACTTTTTTTAACCGCATTGCTTCCTCTTCTCCGCATTTTTCCCCACCCCCTTACTCCTGCAAGGATACGCTAAACCAAATATTATTAACATTTCAGGAGTATCGGCGCGTTAAACGGGAACATTCAATTAAATTTTTTTAATGCTCATTTCGAATCAATTTTTTTTATAAATAATTTATAAATTTTGTTTTAAAATGAATCATCATACCACTATCATTTTCTATTTCACTAACTTGTTATTTACTCAGATCATGTTAATCAAACTTTTTAGGAAGAGTTTCTTAATCATGGCTTTTAAAAACTAGTCCCTTTTTAAAAAATTCTTTGAATTTTATTTTAAGAGGTTACATTGATCTCTTGCGCTTAAAGTAGATTTATACTTTATTTTTAATCATAATTTGATACACAACACAAAATTTACTGATAATTATTGATACAAAAAAAGTATAGTAAAAATATCACAGTATTTAATATACTATTTAAATGCAATTAGTAATCTTATAAATATACTTCTCATATTACCATTTTTTAAAGTTCAATTATATTTATAAATACTTTCCCTATTATTTAAATTTTATGGTTTTTTATAAAAGATTTATATAAAATATAATATCTTAATGGCGTAAGGCTCTTTTTTAAGATTTATAAAACACGTTTTTTGAATACATAAGATTATAGAATTATAAATATTGTTTAATGATATTAAAGATACATTCTGATATATTAATTTCTTTACTGTTATTTTTTACCAAACAATGAAAATTTGTTACTACTCAAAATATACAATGTAATATTAATATCATATACCCAATTTGTTAATTGTTTTTTTATTATTTTAATATGGCATTTCTTTATGGAAATAGTTATTAACAATAAAAGGCATTCAGAATTTAGCAAATCGAAAATTTTTAAACAATAGCTATAAATTTAACTATTTTTAAAGACTCCTATTTAATTACTCAGGTATATGTTTAGATAATTTCTAAAGACTCAGAATAAATATTTAGAAAAAAACACCTAATGATCAGAATATTTCTTAATGTTCAGATTAAAAACTAAATTTCCCAGAATTTGTTCAGATATAAAAAAAAATAAGATGCTCAGAAAAATATATGAAACGCTCATAATTATTCACTTAATTGCTATGAAATATTTTTTAAAAACTATTTATTTTAAGAATTTGTATATGATTGAATTTTTCAAGAAAAATATGGGCCCACATAAATTACTGGTTTATGAGAGCCTATTTTAAAAACTATAAAAACGGCTAGCCCAATATTTTTGCTAAAAAATATTACGCAAGCCTGGAGATTTAGCTCATAGATGGCAGAAATGTTTGGACATCTAAATCTCTAAGTATGCACAATATTATTTTGGGTAAAATTTTAATTTAAAATTGGTGAAATCCATTTATTTAACAGCACTACTTTTGAAAACTTTTTTGAAATATATATAAAAAAATTTACTAACATAATCTTCGATTAAGCTTTATTTAAAATTTATCAAAAAAATATATCAACATTTAGATTTTTTTAAATAATATTTAATTAAATCCATAGAAAAAGTTATTTTCGCCAATTTTGTTATTAATTTCTAGATATATGGTCTTATATAAAAGATAAACATTCAATATATATTATTTATTTTTTTAAATATATTAGTGTTGTTAAAAGCTGCTTTTAAAAGAAGCGCGCTATCGCTACCTCCAAAAGCGCTATTAGATACTTTTTACGTTACTTTAGATTTTTTTAAAAAATATTTTTTACTATCTACTTTCACAAATAAAAATAATGACTAAAATTTCAAATATATATATTATTTATTTATTTTTTATTACAACTCAATAATAACATTTCCATACTATCATATCCACGTCTAGAGCTACGATAAGGAAGTATAAGCGACTAAATAATCTTCAATACTAGTACGCAATGCAGTATTGAATTGAATATTACTGCTATAAAGTAGTAATGGCGTTACCTTTTTGAAGAAGATGCAACGAGAACGCGTTTCTTTATTTTGAGTAACGGTGACACAAAACGTTACTCGTTACTTTAAATTTTTCCTAAAAGATATGGAAAAATTTTATATTATAAAACTTTAATTTCGGGCTACTTCGTTACTTTCTAAAATAGAAGCGAACTATCGCTATATTTTATAAAAAGTAGCGTGCTAAAGCTACCGCTAAAAGAAAAAAGTAGCGCGCTACTTTAAGAACACTATATTAGTTGCTTTCATTAATGACTGTTAGAATATTTTATAATCCCAGAAACTTCTACCACACTAAGGGGGGGGGGGTGTATGATTCATTCTCATTGAAATTGGAGGAAATAGGTTATGGCGCTATATTTATTTAATAAAATTGGAGGGGTGGTAGGTTAGTAGCATTGATTTTCCAATTTTGATTTGGTGCGTGGGGGTAGTTAGTGGAATAGGAGACATTAACTTAGGGGTGGAGGTGTTTCTGACCCTACCCCCTAGACCGATCTGCTTTGAACGCATAAGGTTTAAAGTTGATGTCTAAAAGGTGTGCTAATTTTTCTCCAAAAATAGACTTCACTAGACTAGACAAACTTTTTAAGATATATATTATTATATGATATAATCCGTTACTTATTTTTTTAAATTATTTCCCAAAAGTAACCATACGTATTGAATTAGATTGATATATATAAAAAACCATTTTAGGTCGTAAAATATCTTCAAAATCTGGAGATCCAAATGAATGTTTTTATTAAAAACATCAGATTTCAATGATAGTTTGCAAATCAAATCTAGTTTCTTCATGGTTTAATGCCTGCCATGATCTAAAAAAATTTTTAATTATTTTAAGATCCTGTTATTGTTATTTTTTGCTTTTTGGATATGTTTTTAATGATACTTCATTTTTTTTAATAATTGATTCTATCAATTTTTAAAAAATATTTTATTCTAATTTTCATTTTATATATAATAAATATATATATGCTTTTATATTATAATAATTATACATAAAATATATTTATTTATAAAATATAAATTAATAGGCTGCATATCGACAAAAAATACGCGATTTTGCGACAATCCCTTTTAAAATGAATTAAACTCGATATGTTGGTTATATATTGTATTAATTTTATATGAATCCTAATTTTAAGCTCTACTTAAATTCATAAATTATATATCATTTGCAACTCTTAGAATTTTCCCAATATAGATATATTGATAATAAACATCTGATGAGTTACAGAATGAGGGCTTAGCTGAAAATATTTTTTAAGAAAATTTTAGGGCTAGAAATGTTATACAATTTATATTTCTCCACTAAATATTTATTGGTAATTTGAGATTCCTAAAACCTAGGCGATGCCCGTACTAGATGGTCCATAATTTGGATTTTTTTGAGCTAGTAATGTTCAAGAGTAATCAAATATTTTTTAGCATTAAAATATTTATGTGAATTACATTTTGGGAAGCATTTAGATGGTTGGCAATAATTGATCATCTCCATATTTTCAAATGTATCACAAATATGATAACAGGAAAAAAGTAGGCGAAAAAAACTCGATCACCAAAATTTCGGGGGAAAAAACTTGATAATAAAAATCTGTAGGAAGATAATATTAAAGATCAAGAATTAATCTTACATTTTTAAGTGCATGTATATCCATTATTTAAGTACATGTATATCCATTACATCGATTCAAGGGGGACGGGGAAAATTGTGACCTCGACAGAGTTCAGAAAATTGGCCTTATTAGATGGGACTTGGCATATGCTTAAAAAATTTAGGAAATCGAGTAGGGCTAGACTGGGGCTTAAAATATTTTTGAAAAAATTCGAGCCGCGCCATTATAATAGAAAAGGATGTTTTCGTTTGCTAAAAATGGTATTTAGAAACAAATCAATTTGTTATTTTATTTAGCTTCATAAAAATGCTTATAATTTTGAAAGAAAATAAATTAAAATAAAAAGTTAATTTATTTTGTGATTAAAAAGAAATATCCCAAAAATGCAAAATCTCTGCCATATAATCCCGGTCTCCCCTCACAAAAAATATTCGTCCTCAATAGCCTTGCCTATGGTGAATAATGCACTGAAAAATTGCTAGAATATCTTAAAGGAATCCAATTCAAACCTTATTTTAGAAGTTATAAAAAATGAATATATATTTTTTAATGGGCATTTTAGCTAATTTTGAGAAATGCCACATTGGTGGAGACTCTTGAGGTGGAATATTAATTTTAAAAAAACTTATAAATATGGTTTTAAAACATGTGTCTTTACTATAATATGAATTTCCCTGATACATTATAATGGTGCAATTTAACTTATGTTACTGATCTTTGATTAATTTTATATAATAAATTGAAATTAATTATATTTCGGACCACTTTTTACCAGAATGTTGGTGAGCTCGCTATCATCTATCATTTCTATTTGGCGATACGAATAAAAATTTAATAAAGAAGATTTTAACATGGAATTTTAAAAAAGAAGATAATCTCAAAATAATTATTGTAACTTTTATCTTTTTTGCATTCTTCATAATTTTGATTTTCATCATTTATTTCTACAGGAACGTCTCCCGAACCTTTTTAGAATTATATTTAAATTAAAATTAAATGTCATAATAATTTTTTTTTAAAATTATCTGTCAAATCAATCAACGAGATATTTACTAGGGATGTTGTTTGAATTATCATCAACGTCTGTTATATTTACAATAATGTGAAAGTTGTTTAAATTTTGGTCATGATTATTTAAATATCTTCTTGGCCTAGAATACATAGGTTCATCTATTTCCAAATCAATATGGTAAACATATAGATCATTATTTCCTAAGGAAGGATTTATTTTTAAATATAGCTATTACAAATTACTTTTTAGGTGTCCATTGTCATCAAACATTTTAGAAAAAGGAACATCTTGAGTTTGATCATAGTAATTGTAATTGTCATCTCTTTCAAGCTTTCGCTTATATTCGGAATGGTATATTTTAAAAATATCTGGAATATCCTCTGTCCAAATATTGACAGTTTTAGAAGTGTTTCGGTTGGTTTTTATTATTATGTTCGAACTCAATACTACTGGGTTCTCGTTATAATATTCATTAGATCTTATCGGATTGGCTACACTGTGTAATAATTTTAAACCTTGGGTTATTATACCATTTGGATACAAATTTTCGCGTCTAGACAAAAATTTTTCATATTTTTTTTCAACCTCTGCAGCATATTTATTTATCCTATTCTCGGTCATTAAAAGCTCTGTGATGTATTTAATAAAATAAAAATTTATAATCTACATATATCTTGTGATGGTTACGATAATTTATTCAAAGAGAATATTAAGTTTTTTTTTGACCCCTCCTTAAACATTAATTTATTATTTATAATTAGCAACAGATTACACTTGCTCAAAATTTGTTTAGGTGAATAATGAAAATGAAAAAAATAAATAATACTTTACCTAAATTGAATGCCATAAATAATAACAGAATAAGTTCCATGAATTATTTAATATTTATCTTATATAAAAACAAGATTGGAATTCGATCCATGGTTTTAAATGTAAATTATTTAATATTCAATCTTATATATTAAATATATATTTTATGTTATGTTCTAAGGAGTTATAAAAAAAATTATTTTTTTAAAAATGATATAGAATTGCTATAAAATACGTAAAAATTTGGCGTATTTTTTTATATTAATTTTGTAATATTATATTAAATTAAATAATGTAAGGTAAAAATAGTAATTATTCAGTGAAATGCGGAAATTGTCAAGTTTATGTTATATATATTTTTTAAATAATAAAAAATTTTTTTTAAATATCATTAAGAATATTTTTAATAGTTTTCAAGGAGTATCAACAATTCTTCTCCAAGAATCGGAGTGCTCCACTCGACATTTAAAATATCTTTAGATAAGAGTCTATTTTAATTTATAATTAATAAATAAAAACAATGTACAAAAATATTAATTTTTGACTTTGTTAGATCACTGTAAATTATGTGCAATTTTCATAATTTTATGCTCTATAATATTTCCCTGTTGTGCACCTTTTTTAAATTTTCTAAAGAAAATTATGATAAAGAATGTAGTAAAGAAATTAACAGTTAAATAGTCGCATGATTTTTTATTCAATTATTATTTATATAAATAAATTAAAATTAATTATAGATTGTTAATTATTTATAAGTAGTAACCCTATTTATTTCCAATTTATAATAAATAAAATTGAAATATAGCATTTTAAGCAAAAAATAACTAACAAATTTAATTTAAATTGCTCATATAAATTTTTTTATGCAATCATTAGGAGGTAGTATATTCAGGGTTGGCAAATCGGTCAATTGACCGGTCAAATTCAGTCAACTAACCGGGGAGTATTTACCCTTGTCAAATACTCTAAACTGCTTATTTATTAAGTCCCCAATATCAAGAGGAGGGGCATCACTAGTAGTGAATTTAATAAAGTATGTTATAATACAAGAATTGGGCATTTTAGAAGGTATTGATGGTCAAAACGTTTAAAGTGATATCATAAATTTCAGAAGTAAAAGTGGCATGTTTAATAGCAAATTATGTAGAAAGCAGTAACTTCTATATGGAAAAAAATTTCGGCCTCTAGTTAGAGAAATGAGCTATGCCCACTATGCCCATTAAGAGAATTAACATTTTACTAACAATTCTTAATTCTACTTCTTCTTTAGAAAGAAATTGATTGATTTCGGTAATAATCTTAATAAAATAGTAATTGATTGAAGATCTTAACAACAATAAAATGATTAAAAAATATGAAAGAAAATGATAATATTGAATATGAAGGAATCAGAACAAGACTGCAACGGGGAGCGAAACATTAGTTATTGAGTGACAATGAATTTAAAAAATATTATAAAATTAATATAAGTTAATATTGTTTAAAATAATATTTATTTGAATTTGACCGTATCGTATTTGACCGGTCAATTACACAACCCTGATATTATTATCTCTCAATATTTTTCACTTAAAAATTAAATAAGTTTTTCATATATTTGAATCTAAATCTTAAATTTTTTTCCCAGTTTCAACAATTTTTCACGTGGAGCAAGCACTCTAATTTTGGATGACAAATAAATAATATTAAAAACCGTTATTTATATGAATGTAGTATCATTTTTCGAAGTTTCATATATTAACTTATAAAATTATAAATCTAATTTGCATTTAATTACAAAAGGAAAGCAGGTAAGGTTAAGGGATAGGGTCTTAATGACTGGAAGGGGCGGTATTTAGAGGTTAGCCCCCCCCCCCACAAAAATTTCCTAGCCTCCAAACGAAAAATTGCAGATTTTACATTTTTGCTATTTTATACATTTAAAATCGAGTTGTAAAAGTATAAATATTACGTAAATTAGCTTAATGTTTTAGGCATTTTAAGGGTCTAGTTAGACAAGAATTAAGCATATTTAAGTAAGTGGTAATAAAATAATGATCCTTAGAACATTTTATAAATATATTTATATATAACTTTCGTAAAAGTTAATTCGATATAAAAAACATTCGAATATTATTTCAACAATAAATAAATTAACTTTTACTATCGAAACTTTAAATATTTGATCATAGCCACAAATCAATAAACAAGCAGATAATATAATATTTTATAGATAAAAGACCATTAAAATATAAAGTATAATATATATAAAATATTACTACAATGTTAATATTACAATAATTATCAGGGATCCAAACTCTGAATAGACCCGTTAAACAGGTATTATCTATTATTATTTGCAGGACCGAACCTAAACAGTCCAAAAACTTGTCCCCCAAACCTGAAACTAACCTCTAATACTGTAAAACAATTTCAATCATTTGGATATCTTAATTGTTTTAAAGAGAATTATCAATTTAGCATACAAAAATGTTTTCAACCATAAGATTTATTTTTTCTCCTTTCAGATACAATTTGACAGAAGTGAATCTTGAAAATATTTTAATTATGATTTTTTTTAGGGAATATTAATAATATTTAAAAAATATTTTCTCTATAAATCTAATCATATTTTAGGGTTAAATATGTTCAAAGAAAACCAGAACAACATAAGAAAATATTTGCAGTAATAATTTATTAAAGAGGACAAAATCCTTTCTAGCACCTTTTCGCTTATAGACAGATTGAATTGAAGTGAGAGAGTTTGATTTCGGCTGGAATTGTTTAAACTACAACAGGGAATTATAATGGTCGACACTAGTGTTGTTAAACAGCTCGATTTGAGCAGATTTTTTAAAATGGTTAACTCAATAATTTATCCAGAAAAAATAGTACTCAAGCAGCGTCTACATGACAGGATTTTCACAGGATGAAAACCCCTTTCAAAAACCTGTGCCTATCCCCCTAAAAAAATTCACCGTCTTCGGCGCCGATGTTTTCCTATTTTTTATTTCACCTTTATTATAATGATACTCTATCAAAAAATTTAAAAAGAATAATTTAAATTATTTTATCTCTACTACCAACTATCGATATTTTGTGATTATAAAGGAGTTATTTTTTAGATAATAATATCAATTACCCCACCATATACAATGAATTCATTATTATAGCATTATGAGCTTGCTGAAAATGTCTAAACCTTTTAAATTAAAGGATAGCAGAAAGTTTTATTTGAAAAATAATGTCTATGATTGTTTGCAATATATAGATTTGGTTGATGAATTGTATTATAATAATTCTTAAATAAAACATTAATTTTTACAGTATAATAGATAACCCACCAAAAAATGTATCCTACCCCCATTAAAGCCGCCTACTCCCCTCAAAAAAATAGGATGCGAACTGCTCCTACCCCCCCCCCCCCCGTTTATGTAGACATGTGCTCAAGTCTGAAGATTTTGCTCATAGATGGAAAAGGCTTTGACATCTATCAGAGAAATCTCAAGGCTTAGGGCAATATATTTCTGCCTAAAATTATTTAAGCCGTTTTTAAAAAATAGGCTCAAATCGATCCGTTTAACCATATTAATCGACACTAACACTAAGCATGAATGTTGGTAAGAGTAATAGAGAAATTTGCATTTGCGCCGGCTTTAAAACTATTTTAAGTCTTTGTATTTTTTATGATCACCCACCTTGTATTCCTTTGTTAAATAATTTATTAGAAAAGGTGGAAGGAGGAAAAAAAATAACGGTCGTAAATCTAAGGGATACTTACATTCGAGTGGAGGGAGAGCTGGCATCGCAGGATCTAATGATTGCAATGCATTTCTTTAGGTGCATTCCAGCATTTTAATGAACTACTGAAAGACTATTTGATATCTGAGACATATTTAGACATGTAATTGTAACGGGAAATGATGATGAAAATCATTTTCGCATTCTTAGATCAAAAATCATGATGAAAGGTATGTTTTTTACAGGAATCTGTTTCTTTTTTCATACAATTGAGAAATAAGGGATACACCCGACGCTAGGAAATAAAGCAATTCGGGATCCGCCAAGTCAAACCAAAGAACGTGTAGCAATTATGAGCTTTCTTGGGCTTTATCTAACAAACGAATTATACGGTATCCTCAATTCTCCGTACCGCTCTATAAGTTTCGCATAATGTTAGCATGGCAATGGCCTCCTCAAGATAAAAGTTATATCAAATAAAGTTAAAACGCTTTCGTCTACGGAGAAAATTTTTTATTCTTATCTGTCAACCCTTATTTGAATGCAGCGTGTTAATATAAGATTAAGAGTGGTCGTCCTGTTACGCAAATTACAGGGTAAAGAAGGTATAAAGCCAATCATATATACTTCTCGCACGTTATTGAATTTCGAGAATCCGTCGACAAAGAGGCGTGTGTGATGAAGAAGTTCATCCATATATATATGGTTGAAAATTCATAGTAAGATAAGAATTGATCAATATCGACTATAAAGACTTTTTGGAGAAGGGTTATTTGCTCAAGGTTTCCAATAGTTTTGGCATCTTGAGCAAAAACGTTTACTTATTGATTATACAATAATAGAGTATCAACTAGGTTAAGATGAATGTTCTAACGGACGCGTTTTGAAAACCGGTAGCAGGAATATATAAACCCAACATGTGGACAACTAGGGATTAATGAAAAAAAACTATTTATAAAATGCATTGCTGGTGGCACAGAAATGATATTTCAGAGAACTATGTTAAAGAATGTATTGTGTTACAAATCCTTATATGAATTGTAATCAAATTGTCGAAGGCTCGTGGGAGAGACTTGAATTTAATTGAATCTAGTATTAATAAAAAAGAATATATATAAAAATTAAATAATTCGATCAAATCTTGAAATTTATACCACAAAAATAAGTTTCTTGAATTATAAAACCATACACTGACTTTTATTTTAAAATTTTTTCATTTATATACATTTTTTTTAATATGCAAAAACACTACAATTATATTAAAAATTCATAAAAATAATAAAAATTACAAGCATTCATAAAAATAATTAAAATTACAGGTCTATTCAAGTTCATAAAAAAAAAAAATTCCTAGACTGCATATTCAAATTAATATTTAACAATCGTCGATCATATATTCACAAACTAACAAATTATATAAAAATATAATTTATATTCAAATTAATACTTAACAATCGTCGATCACATATTCACAAAGCGAATATAACATATTGTTTGCCAAAAGAAGCCAATGTCATTGAAGTGCGTTTATATTTGTATAATGTTAGTAAAGGAGCCTTGGGAGAGAAAGTATTGATCTCGATAATTAGACAATGGTAGATAGGATACTCTTGTGGACATATGTAGATTTGATTAAGACTTCTTAGCAGAAGGCATGATTAAGAGAGATGTGGTTTTCTAGATGCGGAATTCCTAGATATATTGTTTCAGACAATAACCCAAAGTTTTTTATAATTTTTTCCTTCTATTTTTATTAAGTGTTTTTAGGAAGTTATTTTCTTCTTCTTTGAAAAACAGTTTTGATTTAAATTTTTTAATACGTTAATACTTTGATATTATTACAAACTACAATTATTTTAAGACTTAATATACCAACTAGAGGTGGTGCGATAATAATATATAAATTCTGTTGCTTTCATCATTGGTCCTTATTTTATAGTTTCAAAATGTTTCATTTCTAACATGGCATCCTTGCCGTGTATAACTCAAGGCTTCAATATATTTGCATAATTATTTCTTCTAAAGATTTTTAGTGTTTTTGTTTTGTCATTTTATATAACATAATAAATTATAATATGAGCTTACATCGTTAGTGGCATGACTATGATTGCAAATTAATCAACATCTTTGTGTTGCAATGTAATTTAAGATTAATCCCATTGCTGCTGAGATCATATGATTGCATAATTTAAATGAGCAATAACTGTCTAGTCGTTTATATATAATAATGGAAGATAATCTTTTAGAAATTTAATATCTCACAATAATTTTATCGATTACTTAAGCTTCCATCATGTCATCTAAGAGGAAGCTCTAACCACCATATAGTTGTATGATTTGGATTGTTTGTTTATATTCTCTTCTTCAAGAATTGTTGATTTGGTTAGGCCTATAAATTTTTCCTTATTAGTCCATTCTATAAAACATTTAAAATGGTAAGATTTATATTAGTTTCATGAACTTTATGTCAATGTAAGTTGCTAAGAATTATATTATATTATGTGGTTTTTTAAAACCATTATTAATTGAGGCATATGTATGAATTAATTAACCTTTTTTTTAACTTGTAATCTATAGACGCAAAATCTTTTATATCAGTAATCGAAAATATGTTATATTGTAATAAATAAATTTTGTATTAAAAAATATTATTTTTAGAAATGTCTAGTATTGTTTTAATTATTTATATACTCGTTTATTTGTGTGCATAATAGAATAAATGACAAAGTATGAAATTCAGAATAATTGTTCAGATAGCAAATTTAAAAAATATAATATATTAATATAAAACCCGGCCGAAGGCCGGGCAAAAGCGGGCTACCCCCATAAAATTTTTTTTTTAAGCCCCCTGAGATTGTAAAAGCTAGCGACGCCCCTGTTAGTTTGTACATGAATAGATTTAAGGAGCCATTTTGTGGGTATGGCGATTTTGACTGCAATTGCCATATTTCTTTTGTGGTTGAGGATAGATATCAGAATTAACCATTTTTTTTTGAATTGGAAAAGAATTATATTTGTTAAGTCAAATAAAGCTGAATGTGAAATATTTTGAGAATAAGATGGTTCTTCTTCCTATGAGGAAAAGTCTAAAAAAATATATATAATAAACAATATAATGTTAAATGTTACAAACCTGTAGATGTATAAAAATCTATGCGGGAGATAGTGAAATTATTTATTATAAATAAGTTAAGAAATTTTTTTAAAAAAAGAAGATTGTTTTAAATTTTTTTATACGTTCAATTATTTTTAATAAATTACAAATGTGTTTTTTTAAATTATTTTTGCAAGCAAAATACTTTTATCTAGATGGGTTTTATTTGAATTAGAATATTTTTTCTGTTGGGCGAATCGAAAGTGAAAATATTACTACTTTTTATAATTAAGTGTAAAAAAATTTTTATATTTAAGTGTAAAAAAATATTTAATAAAATAATATTAAAAAAATTAATATTGTAATTTTTGTTATATTAAAAAAATTATATTGATATTATTTTTTTTGAAGGTTAAGCGATATTTTTCTTGAAGAAAACGTCGATAATACAGTATAATTAGTAGGCAATGGTAAGGGGAATGCGTAAAACTTTCTCCATTTTAATATATATTTTTTATTAAATTTGCTCCAAAGAGGGAGACGTAGAACAACTTTAAAATTGAACTATTTTGAAACAGAAAATAACAACTCCTTTGGCATATTCCAATGAGTTAATAAGAAGAAACACATTTAACTTTAAATTAAAATATATTAACATTTATTTTATTATATCACTCAAAAAATAAAATTAAATACTTCAAGCTTTTTTGTCTATTTTATTAAAATTAATCAAAATTTGGTTAGATTTTTTTAAAAGTTTGTACATATCTTAGAAAAGAATTTCTCTCCCATAGACATTTTTTTTTCTTTATTGTTATAATTAATATATAATTTATAAAAATCACTCTTCCTAATAAAAATAACACAAAATAGATAATTCCTGGCACAAATATGATATTCCATTCAGGACAATAAATGCACTATATCAAATCTTGGCACTATTTACTAATGATTTTGCATTCTTAACCAATAAATATTTGTTTAACTATCCCCTAAATATTTTTAGTAAAATAAGAAATCGAAACCAACAAAATTTTTAGAAAAATCTTACCTCCCTCCTTTCACCTCAATTTTCTCCTCTCCCATTCACTCATATTATATTTCAATGATGATTTTGAGTCATACCTTCTTCATATGGTGGAAGCAGACTGATATCAAGATTAGATAGTCAACCGGCTATAGACTCATAATAGTAAGGATTTAAATTAGCATTTTAATATCACTAGGAATAATTTAATCCCATTCTTTAGAACAATCATTGGAAATTAAAAATCTTAGGGTTTAGTGGTACAAAAAGATCTTAGGCACATCTATCACTTTAAGAAGATCTGAAATTTTTTGATAATTGTAACTATAAATTTTCTTTATCTTTTTTGAAAGAGCATACCGTTATATTTAGGGAGGCTTTCTAAGGATTCTATACATTAAACAGAGTTACTAAAACTCATTTAATATGGAAGCATAAATCAAAGATCATAAAACGCAATAATATAATTATTATCCAAATATACTTTACTAGAACACAGTTATTCGTAATACACTAAGTTTTATTTGATTTATTAAGCTGAAGAACTTGGTTTATCAATTTATGAATATCATTAACAACATGTAATGTTTTATATTATAATCGTTATTTTTTTTAAAAAATTTAACAAATAAAATTGACAACAAAAATAATATAATTTCGAAATTTTATTAATTAATATATTACACATAAAAAACAAACCAAAAAAATATAATATAATAATTATCAATCAACAAAATAAAAGATTAATTTAAAAGAAAATTCCATTCACTAACAATCTTCATTTAAAAAAATTAATTAAAAAGAATGTTGAAAAATTTTAAAAAATATGTATTAGTAAAATTAACGACCACAAACAACACAATTAATTTCTCTGCCATCAGGATACTTTTCACAATTTAAACTACCGCACTGAGATTCCACAACATATAATTGGCTACCAGGAGCATCGGTGGCATTGCTACCATTTGGATAGATGTCGACCTTGGAATGAACGCATATGTATTCGGTTCTAGCGTACAATTCATTGGATGACATAATGTAACCTTGATACATGACTAAAAAGGTATTCGGGCACATGCTTTGACCAGGGATCATGATTTGAATGGTCTTTTGAGTGTCCAGGCAAACCGCGCAAGCACTTTTATTTATTTTTTAAAATGTAAGGTAATATAATATTTTAAATGAATGGAATCAATAAAAAAATGTAAAAGATGACTTAATTTTACTTACGCATTTTGATTGTGAACTTCTTGATGTTGTTTATCCAGTACCACAACAGTTTTTAATATACTGTACCTAACGCCGAATATCAAAGCTTCCGAATCCAAGCCATCTTGGTATTTAGCAAATTTAGGAGAGTCCGGCATGCACAAATAATTACCACCACTTCCGACATAATGATAATGACCACTCGCCATTTGTCCTAAATAAAAATATATTATTGTTTCATAAAATTAAAGTCAACCGTAGTATAGAAGTTCCTCGTTTCTATTACAAGTCAATGAGCCCCATATCGTATAAGGTAATCCTTTCATCGTGCTCATTTCTAAAGTATACATTAAATAATATAAATTCTAAATCGATTTATATGTATTTTTTTAGTTACATAAGTTATAGTATATCTTCTTTAATGTAATTGTTGATGTTGTTAAACGCTCAATTTGAGCTGATTTTTAATTGTCAAAGCCTCGGTTCCGCCAATGGATGTCTATGCCATCTATGAGTAAAATCTTTAGACTTGCGTAATATTTATCTGGATAAAATATTGAGTTAGCCGTTTTTAAAAATCAGCTCAAATCGAACGGTTTAACAAGACTGGTAATTATAATATTATTGTAATGCTTAATAATACTATTAAAATTATTATATAATTAAACACCACCTACCCCTCCCCCTCTTCCCAATTATATCATTCCAGATTAGGAAACACTTAAACAAACATGATATGAATCAGATAACTCCCAAACTCAAATAATGTTACCAGTTCTAAGAGCAGATTTCGCAATATTTTGACAATCTTGAGCACAGACTCCATCCTCGCCTCTGTCCCCTTTAGGGCCAGACGGACCTATGGGACCTAATGGACCTCTCGAACCATCTTCTCCGGGTATGCCGTCGACTCCTGGCAGACCTCTTGGGCCATCTAATCCATCCCTTCCTGGTGGGCCTGAAGGTCCGGTCAAACCAGATGGTCCTGTATACCCTGGATTTCCAGGTTCACCCTGAGTTCCGGGTTGTCCGTCTCTTCCTGGAAGCCCTGGTTCTCCTGGTGTGCCATCTTGGCCCGGCTCTCCCTTAACTAATGATTCCATCACGGTCCCTGGAGGTCCGGGTAAACCATTAGAGCCCTGTTTGATAGTTATAAAGAGTTAAATCATTTTTAATGGGGAAGTGAAGTTATACAAAAATAGTTCTAACTATCGATTAGGTATATTTTATAAGAATTGTGCAATTATTTTCATAATTTTGATTAAATATATAAGCTTGGATATTTTAATTAAACATCTTTGTAATTTTTCTAAAAGAATTTAATTCTAATTTAATTATTAAAAAGTAAACATAAAACACATTTTTATAACTTCTATGTTAAACTAAAATTTCAAATTTACTGGGGCTCCTGGAGTGCCAGGAGGTCCTTTTGGACCTGCAGGACCTATCATTCCTTTCATTCCTGTTGGGCCTTCTTTTCCATCTGTACCATCTCTACCTGGCTCACCGGGCAGGCCATCTTTGCCTGGTCTCCCATCTAAACCAGGTTGTCCATCTTGACCATCTCTGCCTGGAGTACCATCTCTCCCTAGATAGGTGAGTAACAGATACTGCATTATTTGAATAGATTCAACCAATGTATATTGAATTACTTAAATAGATCGAGTATATTAATTAATAAAAAGCTACAAGAGTTCACTGTTGGGCCACCTGTTAAATTTTAAAATAGCAAATTTAAAATTAAAAAAGATTATATTGAAAAGCCTACAAGAAATCAGATGCGTCCAAAAGGAGAGGTTTTATTTACGGCAAAAAATAACTATCAAAATTTGCCGATCTAACTTTATATCTATTTATGGATCTTTAAGTCATTTATTGACTTAACTTAAATAATACAGTATTGTGATGATTTTATGAAACATGTTTACAATTAAAAAGCCCATCCAGATAAAAGTATTTTGCTTGCAAAAATAATAAAAAAAACACATTTCAATTTATAAAAATTAAAAAAATTTATAACTATCTTCTTTTTTTTCTTTAAAATTTTTTTTAAAACTTATACATTATTTTTTAAAACATTTAACTTTATAATAAATAATTTCATTATCTCCCGCATTTTAGATTTTCAACATCTATAGGTTTTTAACATTTAACATTATATTGTTTTATATAATTTTTCTACGATAAATTCTGATACCTATCCTCAACCACACAAAAATATGGCAACAGGAGCAGGAAAAAATCGTCATAGCAAAAAATGGCTTAGTAAACCTATACATGAACAAACGAGTATAAAAATAATGCGTAACAATTTATCCATTGGCTCGGTATACCGATTCAAAAGGATCACCTTCCTGAATACTACGATGACCCCTTGGTAGATTATATAATCAATCAAAGAGGGAGAGAATAAAAAGGGATGATTCAGAATAGATATCTAAAATTATGCAGCTATTAGAATATAATAATTGATTGTCGATAAAAGATTTAGTGGAAAATTTACTACCTAATCTCAAAATGAGTGATTCGAATATCTAGATGCTTTAAATCAATGAGATGGAGCCTGAAAAGAGTTGTAAAAGAACCCGATAGATAGAATTTCCCAGATGTTATCAATATTTAAGAATTGCCTAAAAATGATTGCGCCATTTCAAAATATATTTAGATTGAAACAGGCTTCAATTCCGACGTCATTTCACACTATGGATGGGCACTTCTGGATTTTTCGTTATATTATGTGTATAAATATATTTTGATCTTTTATTTAAATAAAATAAATATACATTAAATAAAGATTTCACAAGTTATATCGAAAATATAATATAAGAAAGGTAAATTTAATAGAAAATAAAATACACAAATAAAAAATATATTAAAAATAATGATAATTTGACCTTAAGTTTTACCCAAAAAGAAATTGTATATTTTTTACCTCATTCAAAAAATCTTCCAATTTATATATAAAAATTAATTTTAAAAAAAAACCTCAGTCATATAAACAAATTTTAAAGAAAAACAAAGAAGATTATTTTAAATTTTTTTATAAGTTTAAATATTTTTGATAATTTCCAAATGAGTTTTTAAATTATTTTTAAAGCAAAATACTTTTATCTGGATAAGTTTTAATTTATACGTTAACGTGTTTCATAAAATAATTATAATAATACTGTAGTTTGTATTTTTGATTGTATTTTATTGAATATTTTTTTAGGTTTTTAATTTAAAATATTTTATAAATTAAAATTTGGTATGTTAAGGTATAAATATTATTTTTTTCAAAAAAGGAGTATAAAAGTGAAAATTTAATAAAGATATATTTAAACAAATAAAAATAAGGGTTTAAGGTTCAGGTTCGGTTTCAATACTTTTGTATACATACCTACATTCGAATTATATGTAAAGATCATTAAAATAAAAAACACATATATAAAACCAGGGCCGTAGCCAGAAAATTCCAGCTGGGGGGGGGGGGTCAGCTGCTTACTTAAGGGGCCACTATTTTTTTTAAATAAAACAAAAAATTAAGCCCTCATAGAAATTTTTTACTATTTTTATTAAAAATTTATAAATTTTATATGAATAAAAAATAATATTACGACAATTTTTATTTTTTTTAACATAATTGAATTAAAAGATAAATTCCGTGTTATTCTTTTTTCATAAGCCATTAATACTAAATTTTGTTAACGTTGATCTTTCATCGATTCTCTAGTGCTCGATAGATCTCTTTAGTGTAAAGAATGAGGTCTCACAAGAAGACGTTGATACCCCAATGATGATGGCTGCTGAATAGTATTTATACAATTCTTTAAATGCAGGATGAAATTTTTTTTATACATAATTTTTAGGATATTTTTAAAATTATGTGTTACTTTAACTTCTGCAGATAATAAACCTTTTATTATTTTCATTTCATATAATACTTCACCAATAGCCTCAAAATTCTCATAAATGATGCGAGATGTTTCTAAATGACCAGTCTACCTCTCTTAAGAGTATGACCTGTATATTTACAGGATACGTTAAAATGTCTAAAAAAAATATTTGCATTAAATTAGAAATGATAACAATATACCAATTTTGAACCACAAGTTAGCAATGTATAAAAGGAACTTTTTTATTAAATTTTTTTTGAAGTAGGATTTACACTCATCCATTTCGATCAGACATGACGTTTGCACCATCTTATGCCTTGCTTATTATATTCGTTGATTTAGTATTTAACTAATAGTTGCCTTAAAATGCAAATCAGTAATGCTTTTTGTAGAAAGACACTGTAAATTAATTATTCCTATTTAATTTTCTTGTCTCTAGAAAAAATAGCGACTAATTATGCTCAGATTTTTCAATCTGATGAATCTTTTGCCTCATCAGCCTTTAGACAAAAAAATAAGCACTCACTTTTGTTTATTTATCTGAGATATTTTAAGCATCATATCTGCCTTTTGAATCTGGGGTGATGTATATTATGCATTTTTTGGTATTAATTTTATAATTTAATTTGATTTGGGATCTTTTTGGATGGTTTATGAAAACATTGCTATAAATAGTCCAGAAGAATAAATTATGTTTTCATCTTTTGCAGCATCCTTAATTTGGTTGAACCAGTCCCACGAAAAGGTAGCTTCTGTATATTAAGAAATACCATCAAATCAATTATTGATTTAAGATATTAACGATTATGGTTAATTTGTTGACTTACCAAAATTGTTGATATTTCCATATCCTTATTTATATAATAATTTTTTTTATCATGCCAAATTTTTATTGAATTTAAATGAGCTTTTGAGCTTTCATGTCTTAGCAGTCCATTTTTTTTTAAATTTGGGGGGTCGGAAAAATTTTTGGGGCATTGATGGCTTTGGAGCCATTTATCTTCAAGATATAATTAAACCAACTTACACCTATATCAAAATACCCTTACACAATTTACCATATTGCTCAATCATATCTTTCATAATAATATAGCTATTTCCATTCAGCCCATCATTCTTGGAGCCCGTTTATCCTTAAATAACACCAATGGGGACATCAGACCTATTGCAATAGGGTCACTCTTCTGGCAAATAATTTCCAAAATAATTTTCTCCCGTATAAAATCTAACCTATCCAATCTACTACAACCAAACCAGCTTGGTTTTAATGTTCCTGGAGGGAGGCTGCATCCCACTCGACACGGGTCATCCTCCATAATGCACATGATCAATGCATTTTCAAAATTGATTTACATAATGCCTTCAATTCCCTTAGAAGGGAACATTTTATACCCTCTTTATGTGAAATATTCCCAGATTATAATTATACAACATACATCGCTGCATGTTACAACCAACCCACCTTTTTAAAATTTAATGGTTCTATCATTCTCTCTAAACAAGGTATCTAACAAGGAGATCCTTTAGGTAATCCATTATTCTGTCAAGCATTCAATTAATTATAAAAGAGATCTCTTTAGATCGCTGAGGATTAAAGACTAAAATATTGACAATTTATAATGCACAAATTTAAATATAAATTAATGAGTAAATGTATATAATCGGCATACGAATCACTATAAAATAAATGTATGGGAAAAGAACTTTGTAAAAAAAAATATAAATTTTTTAAGCATTTAAAAATTGTTATATAAATATACATATTTTAAAAAAATAAATGTTGGAAATATTGATTAATGCACAAAAATATTCGTAAGAATTATTGCAAGTATAGAAACTCACAAAGATTTCATGAAAAAAATAAGTTTCGAAACCTCTTTGGGATCTAATTTTTCAATGATTTCATCATTGTTTGGTGTAACCTAAAAAGGGTTAATAACCATTCAATCGAAATTCAGAATACTTCTCAATTATGTTGTTATACGGCTCTTTGAGCTAATTTTTAAAATTCTAACTCAATATTTTCGCAAGGCTTAGCAAATATTTTTCTGGCTAAAATAATAGGTTATCAGTTATTAAAATTTGGCTCAAATCAAGCCATTTAACAATACTACTTCTCATATATTTTTATTCTAGGTAAAGATGAAAATACTCTTTCATTAAAAGGACTACCGGGTAGTTTCCAAAATATATAATAATTTTTATATATTGGGAAAATAGTCTAAAATATGTTTGAAATTATGTGAAGCATCTATATCATTTTTTGGAACATTATCAACCATGTTTAACCTTTTCTACCACACTCTGCATCCAGCTAGTAATGGATTATGGAATACGTTAACATCCCCTCACAATAATAATCTACCAAATATTTAATTTTTTCGCTATCATGATTTAAAATAGATTTGGAAGGATATGCGGTAATAATATTTAAAGATAAAAAAATGCTGCCTGAATAATTAAGCACCTTCCATTCACTTTAAGTAATAAAAGTATCCAAGTGAAGATAAATAGATTTATTTTATAGTATTCTTCAACTGACTATATATTAATATTGGAACAATGGGCTTGTCTTGCTGGTCGAGGTAAACAAATATTAAATCCATCGAGCTTTGCTTTTGACTCAACCATGACATATAATTTAGAAAATTCGTCATCTTAATTTACCTTAATTTTCTTAAGTTTCAATATAACGCTTTCTCATAATTTCAATCAAATCAAATGTCATTTTTTTTGAAATATTTTACTTTAGTTTTGCATTGAAAATTTTAAATTATTTGGTGGGAAATATTAAAATGGTAATTAAATATAACGCCAAGGAAAATTTGAAATGATTTAATTCATAGAAATTAGCAGCGTATATATTTCTATTATGAATGTGACAAAATAAATTGAAAAATATATGCCATAAGGTAGAAATCAGTCATATTTTTAAAAAATTGGGCGGAGGGCTACTTGCGATATAAATCTACCAATATTGCATATTTTTTAATATCACATTTATCACAAATATATTCTGCCAATATTTAACTATAAATTTTTCATATTCACAATCATTTTATAATTTACTTATTTTGTTAGATTTGAGTTTATAAGACAATTATAAGAAATTAATTTTTAAATTTAATGAATGATTCAAAATTTCGCTAAAATTATTTTTGGCCACGTTTTTTATGTTTTTCGTTTTTTTCCTCCGTTTTTTGTATGAAGTTAAAAATTGTCTTCTAATTTATATTTCTTAATTTATAAAATAAGGAAAATATTTTAAATTTAACCTGTAAGTAAGTTAAAAATGGTTTAACCTTTGAGCAAAGTATTTTGACTCTCGGGGTATATGATTAGTATTGTATCATTAGTTTATAAATACATTATTAAAAACCTTGATCACCATTTTTTCCATCAAAGCCATTAGATCCGTCCCTGCCAGTTGGGCCTTGCAGACCAGGTTGGCCAATTGGTCCATCATTACCTGGCTGCCCTGGAGTTCCATTATCACCTGTCATGCCCTTCATTCCTATACTTCCAGGAGATCCCTTTCAAAATGCAATTTACATTATATGTTAATTTATGATATATTACCATGAAAAAATTATTTAAGGCGATAAATTTGATAATGATAATGTAACAATAACATTATTATCTCCTAATATGTTTTATTACATAAATATAACATTTTAATCAATTAAATTTTAAGAAACTTAGCCTTTTGTGGGAAATATAATTTAGGATAATTTAAAAGTAAAAACCGGTGGCCCTTGAGGTCCGGGGAGTCCATTTTGGCCTGGTGCACCACTGGAACCAATCTCACCTCTACCACCTGGAGGACCTTGAAATCCAGTTTCCCCTCTAGGACCAGGTTCCCCAGTTCTTCCTTCTGGTCCTGGTTCGCATTGACAAGCTTATTTTAGGAGAATAGTAATAATTTATATAGCTAAATTACTAAATTTAAATATTTTTATAAAAATTATAGTTCATGTTAGTGTTGTTAATAGCTAAATGGCCCGATAATATTTCAAACAAAATATCTCAGAAATTTATTATTTATATTATATAATTATAATTGCATTAGTAATTTATAGTTTCTTGACTTATAAACTACAATAATTTCCTTTTAGATTTTAAAAATATATATATATCGGAAAAATAGTGTGTATGACTTTTACGACCAGATAATATTCGATATCAAACAATTTGATGAATCGATGAATAAAAGTAGAGTGAATAGTTATTTAAAATTCAAAACTTCAATACTCTCCCTTTAGTATTGTAAATCAATTTTCTAATTTATTATCTTAATTTATATAATATAATAATTATTTTAGACTATTCAAGTTTCATCAGAAATTTTCTTAGACAGATATATGTCCTGCGATATCAGCAATTAGTCGTTTCATAGTGTATTGAACATTTAAAAACCTTACGCCATGGTACTCGTCTGAATTGAATCAAATAAACTAGTTATGAAATGCGCAGAGAAATAAGGATTGGAAATCAATCGACAGACAGGTTACTTTAAATAAATCTCAGGAAGGGAGAATAGCTATGTGATATAAAAATAGGAGAATGAAATTTGTAGGCCAAGAGTGTGTAAATATTTAAGTTAGTTGTTGCAAAATGATGATTGGGGTAGAGAAGAGAGAACAATATTTTCTTGGCTAAAATAGAGAGAAATGAGTAGTATGAATGGAGCTGCATTGCAGCCAAAATTGAAATCCAAGAGGATAAAGTTGAAATTGGCGTTTTTGTATGATTCAGCTGACTCTAAGAAGAGTGAGGAAAAAATATTGCAAATAACTAAGAATCTAATCTTATGATTCATGGCAAGTATAAGGTAAGAATGGTAAATATTATAAAGATCGGGTATTTCTGAAATTAAGAAAAACTTAGCCCGAAAAGTAGTTTGATATCTGGAATAGATAAGAAAAAGTTTGGAGGCATTGATTGTTAAATGGGAGAAAATGTGAAGACCACGAAGAATTGGAGGGATTTACTAAAGCTAAAAATGATATTAGAACAGGAATGATTAGAAAAGGAAATTGAAATGATGGAAGGAGTTTTCTAACTATTCTTAAATGGGCGATAGCAGAACCATATAAACAAGAATAATAAAATAGATGCATTTTTTTGACCGAAGGCGGAAGAGTAGAGCAAAAAAATCACTTATTTTAGTTTCTGTAACAAGTGTGTCAGATAAATTTAAAAAAACTTTAAAGCTCTATCTATTTTAACATTTAATTATTCATTTATAACATAATATGAGGATGTAGTGCAAAAATTTACAAAGGTTATCCACTAGGGGTCACTTAAGTATTTTAGATGAGAGAAGTTTATATCCTAGACTGATTATATAAATTCCTCTTAACATCTTATAAAAAAAATTTCCACAAAGTGAACCTCGCATAGAGGCCTACTGGCTGTTCGGAGCCAGACCCAACTCGAGGGGCTCGGTTTAGGTTTGGACATTATTGACTTTTTCCTTTGGCTCGGGTCTGGCTGTAAGAGGTGTCACCATACTCTACTCGATAAATAAAAATTAAGAATGGAAATATTCTCTATAATCATTTTGTTTCAAAAAAATGTCAATCAGAATAACATGTCAAACTTCATTTGGCACATGCCAATTATTATTTTAAATAATATCCATTTACCAAATTAATTATTATTTTATGATTATATTTATCATCTTTTTTCGACATCAATCGTCTAAATTATTTTTATATAATCACAATAATTTTTAAATTCGCTTGTATTATCTGAATAAAATTTCTATGTATATATATATTAAATTAAATGCTACTTTATATAAATCTTAATTAGATTATAGGGGTTAAATATACTTTTATTTAAAGTGGCAATATGTGAATAAATACACATTAAAGGTGCAACTTTGCAGGGTTCTAACATCTCATAATGCGAAATGTCATTTGTTATATAATTTTGTTGTGAAAAACAGAGTGATAATTTTGTTGTGAAAAACAGAGTGGGATACTAATAAATAAGAGTTCAATTTCTCCCTTCCTCTTGCTTTCAGTTTGCTGTGACAGAAAATTTAAAAAAATTAATTACAACAGGTGGTTTTGGCATGCATGAACAGGCGGCAATTTTTTAAAATTTGAATATGTAAAAAATATCTTTTTAAATAATGGAATGGTTTGAAATATTTTATACATATTTATATTTATTAAATTCCTTATTTCAGATATTGTATATTTTATAAGTTTGAGTAAAAATATTTTAAAATAAATAAAGAATTAAACAATCACATAACTTTTAAACATCGGGTACTTTCAAAAATAATAGGCAGACAGATTAAATTGAAGCAGTGGAAGTATTTTAAAATTTTTGTAAAAATAAAATATAATACTCTGTTATAAATATAAATTATAATTATAATCAAAATTAATTAAAATGCGAAAACAATATTTTTTTATATTAAGTCTGTTTAATTTGACATTAAGAAAGCCTACAATAAAAATTGTATTTTATATATTTATTCTTAAATCACATATAAAACCATTTGAAATTCACAATTATATATAATTTAATTCAAATGTTAAAATTGTGCCACTGTAGACTTACTATTCCAACAAAGATACAAAGAAAATGTTATCATTTAATATGTAACCTATTTAAACAAATATATCCATAATGCAAATGAGAATTAATTATGGCTGTATGAGAATTATTTGTGACCTTTAAAAAAAATATTATCCATTATCACGTATATAAAATATACAAATATTATCTTTTATATAAAATGACTTATAGAGTGTACATATATAATGTAACTAGTAACTTCTAGATATATTAGTATTATAATATTCAATTATTCTTTAGAATTTTATCTTAAAAATTTGATGATAGCTTTAGGTATTATATTTAAATATAGCTATATTCTTTTAAAAAAATTGTAATGTAAAAAAAATATATTACAGACATTCTTGTTGTTATCATCAAACATTTTCCACGAATTTATACATTTGTAAATTTTACAGACTATGGTAATATTTATAAATATATAAAAAATTAATAATTACATTTTTATAAAAAAATTGAGAATAAGTTATTTAAATTCTCGACAAAATAAGTTATGAATTTACTTTTAACCGTGAGAAATTATTTTTTACTAAGGCTACCTTATGTTTTATTATATTATATAATATATAAATATGCCCCATCATGATAATTTTTTTATTCGAAATTGTAAATAATGAAAATCAGAAATATATAACTTAGTAAGAAATCTGTAACAGAATCAAAAGGGTTATTTAGGATTTTTTAAATTTAAATCATTAATTATTTCCATAATCAGGTGAGGGTTAAGAAGCGGATATTCAAATCTTAATAGGAATAATTTTTTTACCGCTATTTAACAGTTTCTAATATTTTTTGTTTCTAAATTATCAAATTCTTTTGTAACATTTCTTAACTTCAACGATAGAAATAATCATTATGCGAAAAAAAATAATATGGGAGAAGGGGGAAGCAACGGTATCCTAGAAAATTTATGTCATCTTAATGGGAGGGAGGGGGTGTTTGCATTATTTCACTGGCTAAAAAATATAGGAGTTAGGGATAAAAAGATCATAATAAAATTATTAATATTGGGATTGTAGGTCTTTAATAGGCGGGATTTTAGCCCGCCTATGCCCGCCCATATTTCGGGTGGGCATGATCGAGGTCTTAAAAATATTTTCAATATTGGGCGGGTTGATGGTTAAATTTTAATATCTTTCAGGCAAAATCGCAGAACAAACTTCAATTTATTAAAAATAATAGTTTTATTTCATAATATTGCATATTATATATGTTAGTTAAAAATATATTAAAATAAATAAATAAAGAGCCAAACCAGCCATTAAGAAAATTTTTAAATATTAGGCGGGTGGGTAAACAAAATTTATAGATATATGGGTGGATGAGAGGGTAAATTTTTTTTTAAAGTTATAATTAGGTGGGTGGTCTAAAATAAAACAATGAGTGGGCGGGCTTTTTGGCTAAAACCCGCCCATTACAGACCTCTAATTGGGATAGTTGAAAAGTATTTAATTAAATTATAAAAAGTACAAAAAGAAAATTAGGAAGTAATGCTATGTTTTGGGCGTAATAAATAAACTTTATTTGAGAAAAAGGCTTTAAAAAAAATCATCTCATAACTGATGCCCAATATTTTTATCCTTGAAGTTTATAAATTATTGGAAAATACTTTGACAAGAATCTCTTCTTTAGTTTTTTCACATCGGAGCCAGAAAGTGAAAATAAAAATTTATTCAAATATATGCAGAGAAGAATCTTTAACTAGACGTTACACAAAGAACAAGCAATCTTAGATATGTCTATATGATATGTTGCGAATAGCATAAATTTACCTATAGTAATTACTTCTTATATGTTTAGTATACAAATATCTTCTTATATTATTTTTTCAGGTTTACAAGTGGTGAACAAACTTTCAGTGAATTGAAATAAACTTATAGCAAATATTGGGCAGAATTATTTAGAAACTTTTTAATAATGTCAGCTAAATAAGAATTATGAGAACAAATAAAATTATTAAATAAGATTCTTGATAATTTAAGCAAATGTTTTTTATCAATGCGCAAATAATACTAAAATTATATTATTGTTATAATAAAAAATAAGAAACTACATAAAAAAGGAAAAACTTTAATAAAGAAATATAAAAAGGTAAGTATAGTATCATAAAAAAGAAGAATAAAAACTCAAAGCCGGGAGAGACTGTAGAGTCCACATCAAATCTTTTATCGCAATAGGACTTCCGCCTCAAATAATCGAAGTTATATAGATAGCCTGGAAACACTTTCCCATAGTATAAGGGAGTTCTAGGCATAACATGACCAAGGATGCTGGCTATTATGCAGCGTTATTGCGAGGTAAATCAGAATATATTAATTTTTTTAAATCTCTTGCCGTAAAACCATTGTAATTAATAAAAATTTATTTGATTTAAAAATAGGGCGCCTTAAACCCTACTCATAAGCATACAAGCCAGATATATTTAGACCTCAAAAATAATGGTCTAAAAAATTATTATTCACATATTTTTCTAAAATTTGTTTGCGTGTACTTTTTATCAATATAAATTGAACAGCGTCTACATGAGCGGATGGAGAGGGAGGGAGGGGGGGGGGGGTATTTGCATCCAATAAAGAGAATTTATTGTGATGTTATCTATTAAATTTTTGATGAAATAGGACAAAATAATTGCTGTAAAAATTAATACTTTTATTATAATACAATGATATTGCTTATCATCGACCAAATCTATACATTTGCAAACATTTTCAAAATAAAATTTTCTGCCATACTTTTAAATGGATAAAAGGGTTAGATATATGATATTATAATTCGGTTTAATTGAATTCATGATCTAAAAAATAACTCTTTTATATTCACAATAATTTGATAGTTGGTAATAGAGCTAAAATAATTTAAGTCATTCATTTTAATTTATAAATGGAGTACCGTTATTATTAAATAGCTGATCATTTAGGAGAGTAGGCATAGATTTTTGAGGGGGCGGGGTTTACATCCAGTGAAAATCATGTCATGTAGACACTGGAATTGAATAATACATTATCCATATTATTTGTTTTAAAAAAAAAAAAATTTTATAAAGTTTGACAGGTGCCAGTTAAATGTTAAAAATAAATCTGTGGTAGGATATTTATAATATTATGGGATTAAAAAAAACGGGATATAAATTTAATAATTGTGCCCTACCAATCCTGTCAATTAAATCTATCTACCACATCTAAGCAGGTAATTTTTTAAACATAAAGCTATCTAAATTTCCTAAATTAAACTTGCATTTGTGCAAAGTCTTCATTTGTCAATTCCTTTCAAATCTATCATTTGAATCAAAGAATACAATTTGAAATCTCAATGGAGCTTTATTTATTATACCTACACTCCTCCCATTATATTTATAATTTTTTTTAAATATAATTTTTTAAATATTTTAGTAATTTTTATAGAAAAACAAAGAAAAGTATATATATAAATAATTACCCTCGGCACCTATGTTGCCAGATACCCCATGTAAAACGGCTTTTCCATTCCCATTTGTCCTGGAGGCTCCTGGAATTCGGTGTCCCACATTGTAATATCCTGTAAAACCGCTTTCCCGATTGACCTGTCTCTTAGACCTTTTATTCATCTTGCGCTGAGGTAATGTGCTAACACCCTTACTATTAGTGGTTATATTTTCTTTGTTGATATTGGAAGTTTGGGAATTTTTAAAGGAGTCTTTGATAACATTCTCTTCTTCATCGACCAGGGCTGCCATATCTTCCTCAAATGGGGAAGGGGTGATGGCTTCGAGAGTTAATACATTGAGATTATCAGTATTTGGGGCATATTGTCTTGAGGAAGTTATTGCCAATTCCTTCTGCGATCATAATTTTGAATTTACATTTATTTATTAATTTTTAAATGTTACTTTTACTTATTAAATACAACGAATATTTTAATTATTATTCTATCGTATTTTGTTTGATTTGATTATACATTATTATTTTAAAAGTAATTTTTTTTATATATAATTCATCGAAACTTTATAATAAAAAAAAGAAAGAATACTTTTAATCCCCTGATTTCCTTGTGTAAGCCGTCCATTTCCTCCATCAACATAGTGATTCTCCATTCGTCCCGACTTTGATCATTAAAGAATCCAAATCTGGAGTTCAGTATAAAAAAGAGCACAAATAAAAAGCCCGACAGTATTAGGGTCAATATTATGGTCAACAAATAAAAGGATTTTGGCTTCTTATTGTAGTATTGGGCGAATCCATCTCTTCCATTGAATAAGTCTTCCTTTGTTTCGATCATATTTTTAATCTGTACTTGTTCAAATTGTAAATAATATTTAATTGATATAGTTCAAAATAAGAAAAATGTAAAATTTTATTACTCAATACTTGACTATGAAAAATAAGCATCAAAAAATAATTATAAATATTTGATATATATTCATATTTAAGGAATCAATATTGTGACAAAGAGGGTTGCTATATGTTTTTAAATCGAGGTAATCACTCGCACCCTTAATAAATATCTTTTACTCTGGCCAGTTAAGTTGGCACTATCCCCTTTTCTCTTACCAATAACGCAGTAGTCTATGTTCTTAAAAATTTTAGAGGTTTTGGAGGGAATATGTCAAGTTTTATAATCCTTCTAGTACTAACATGGAATTATAATTTTACCACAGAACACTCCCTTAAGAATGAGAGGGAAAGAGGTGAATAGGGTTTTTGTAGGTATTAAAATTGCAATATAAAAACTTATCTATGTTAGCAGCAATGTGCGTTACAGGCAATACCTATAATATCTTATAAAATTGTCAGAAATAAATAGGATAAGTATTTTACACTTTCCGGCTCTATCCGATTATTCGGATTAAAACGCGCTAAATAAATTATTATAAGTATGAAAATAGGAAAATAATTTGTTGAGCTTTTTTTTAAAATTAAAAATCTAAGTTCGCAGCGATTATATTCCAAAATTTCAATTATTTTTAATATAAAATTGCATGGATTCACTGAAATATTTATCAGGTATGTACTGATTACATATATACAAGTAACATATTCATCGGTTAAAAATAAATACTATTCTTACAATTTATAAGATATCTGGACAGACTTGGTCTTTGTCACGTCGCTTCCTTTTTATTTTCTCGAAAAATGGTAATATCAGTCAAAAAGGACAATGGATCCAATAAAATAAAAGCAAAATTATTTCGGTTTTTCGGGGGAATAAAAGAAATAAGTTATTTAATAGAAAGAAGTCAGTTATAAAGTGAACTTACTTATAAAAAAAATAAAAGGGGAAAAAAAATTTAATAAAAGTTATACAAAATTCTTTTTATTATATAATTATTTTTCGAATAGGATTTAATTATTTTAAGATTATTTTGTCTTTTCTTGTTTATAAAAAAAACTAATAAATCTCTGTTGTTGTTTTTTTTCTTCTCGTTACAAATAAATATTTCAACAATTTTTTGTTAGAAAAGGAAAGAAAAGAGTTGCCAACCCTATCACCTTTACCCCCCCCCCCCCCCACACATATCGTCTCTTAATAAGCGAAAAGGTATGTATGTTTAATTTATACGATATTTTAATTTTATACTTCTTTTTATAAGGGGGTTTCAAATAAAAGGATCAAAAAAAATAAATAAAAAAAAAATTGCCAAATTATGCGATTTACCTTAAGGCCTTCAATTATCTTCCTTTTTTAAAATATTTTTTTATCTGTCTCCTTTTTTTCCGAATTTATTTTACCTTATAATATCTTTTTAAAGCTACACCAATCTAACCCCCCCCCCCCATTATTTAACAATATTCAAAAAAAAATTTGTATCATATAGCAAATAATGGATGAAAGATGAAGAGAAGGTATTATTGGAAAGGAGAAGGGTGGATATGGCAGACAGGTAACAATGCCAAAAATGAATTTCAGTGTTTTTGCCAGAATGTTTTGAATTTCGGCAAGAGTACTCTTCTAAGAGGTCGTTAGATGATATCTTTTAATTTCCTATCTTTCTCTATATAATTTACAAATGTAAGAAAGGTATTTATAATAAAAAAATTCCTAAATTTTTGAAATATTTTCCTATAAATAAGTAATTTTTATTTTATTTTTTTTTAGAAATTTTTTTTAATGATTGTTTCTTTAAAAATAAAAAGAGATAAAATGAAATTATAAATTTCACAATTATTTTTAAAATTTGATATGAAATAAAATTGCGAAATTGGAATATTTTGTTTAATATTTTGAATAATTTTTTTTCCGAGTAAATTATTTGGAAGAAGAATATTTTTATATTAATTGTCAATACATCCACAAAACCCTATTTTAAAAATAAAAATCATTGCGAAAATACATGAATAAATTAATTCCATACATCAAGATAATTAGGGTGACTAATAGATCCCTGTATATCTACAAAAATACAAATCGAATATTTGCATTTTCGTATTCGATTCATATTTTAAATAAATAATTGCATTATTCGTATGAATTGAATAATTCCTTATTTGTATTAGTACGAATAATAATAAAAAAATCGATTTGATTCGTAGTTCGAAAATTAAATTAACGTATTTTTAAAAATGAAAAAAGTCAGAGTATGAAAAAATCTTCATAAATTTTTTCGAATAAATCTTTGATTTTTTAAAATAAAATAGTGATTTCATCTTGAAAGATTACTTATGTATAAAAATTATAAAAATTTACTTATAAAATATATTTTACTAAATATATATGAAATTTTAGGTAAAACTTGATCAAAAAATAGGATTATTAAAATTTAAAAATATGGAAATAAAGTAAAAAAATAAAATGTTCCACAACTAACATGTTAAATATTATTAATTTTAAATATTTATAAATAAGTTTTAACATTTACGAATAGTTTCTAATATTTATAAATAAGTTTTAACATTTACGAATAGTTTCTAATATTTATAATAAATTTTAAATAATATAAAAAATTTCCGAATAATTTCGAATAATTCAATCGAATAATGGATAAAAAATCATTTGACGAATAATATATTTTCCTTATTTATATACGATTCGTTTCCGATCTTGTCATTCGTATTCGTGAAATATGAATCGAATATTGAATAATGAATAATTTGTTTTAAGCATAGATCCCTGCATCCTATCTTGGTCCGGCCTGCTCAAAAAATTATTTTAAAGATTGTTTTACCTCTTAGTCCGGCTAATTAAAATTTTAAAAATAGATCTATTCGGCCTAACTAGGACAGTTCGGTGCATGGTTTTAATGACTAATGCAACTATTATATTTTATCTACTTTTATAAACGTACCCAAGTACCCCTACACCGACACCCAGATCTTGATGATTAAGATATAAAATGATTTATTATAAACTGAATATTAATTATATATTATGACTAAGATGGTACCCCTCCCCTCCTCCCCCTTGAGCTATCCTCCTGAAATTAGAAGGTCCTGAGTAAAGACACTATATTTATAAACAAACAATGTGTTTAAGGGACAGAACGATAAAAATAGTAGCGAGGGAGGATTTAGATTTTATAATATTTTAAGAATTATTTGGCAGGGCGCACCAGTAAATTTTACAGGTGGGAGTGAGCACAAGAAATATTTTTCTAATACAATAAAATTCAATAGTTTTGCAAGAAATCCAATTTTTTTTATCACTTTTGTCATTTTGCGTGCTTTTTGCATCATTTCGCGTGTTTTTTGCTTATTTTTAATTATGTTTCATGTATATTTTTATTTTGTGCCATTTTTGCATATTGTGCATCTTTTTCTTGCTTTTCTGTGATTTTACCTCCTTTTACATATTTTTGCTTATTTTTTGCTTGATTTTCGTGATATTACGCCATTCACCTCTTTGAATACTTTCCGAGCTTCGTAAAAATTTTGCATCCTTCTGAGCTCAGCATATTGCTTTTTGCATATTTTTGCATATTTTGCGTCTGCATGCTTTATACAAGTTTTAATCCATTTTTGCAAGTTGTTTGCATATTTGAATTTTTTAGTTTACTTTCTGCTATTGCCTCATTTTATATAATTTGACACAGGGAGAGGGAATCATTCAAGCTCTAAAAATAAATGTCAAATATAATCATGACACTGATAAAACATTGCTTTATTTTGTACATCTTACATACTTTTACATTATGATAAATATTATAATAAAAATCATAATATTAATTTTTCCGATTTTTAAAAAAAAAATTCAGGGAAGGATAAGCCATACCCGAGGAAGATTATAACTATGCCTGGGAATGTGAGAATTTATAATTTTTACATAATATTTATATCATTTATGAGAGATTTGTTCATTTATAAATTATATTTCAAAATTTTAAATATATAATTTAGGGTCATATCATAATTTTTAAAATTGATGAATATGGCTCATATAAACCTCTGAATTTTACTTTTAAGTTTTTAGATATCAAATATGATAATTCACGTTACATATTTAAATCAAAATTTTTATTTGAAAAGGAAAAGGAAAAATGTCAATATATTTTTATTTTAGTTGGGTTTGTCTTTCCATATAATAAACGATCATTGGTAAAATTTGAATAATTTATTCAAATTTTTTTGTTAAATTTATCAAAGTTCTTGAATTTTGTATAAAAATAAAAATTCAAGTTTTTAACATAGTAAAAAAAAACAAGTTTAAAAATTAAATTTTTCATTGAATGCCTCAAAATTTTTATCATGCCTAATCACGCCCTGAAATTCAAAATTTATTCAACTTCCATTTTAACCCGCAGATTTACAGACGAGCCCCTCTAATTTGAATAAAAAAGAAACTTTTTTTTTCCTATTTTGTGAATCTGATTTTACCATAAGGGACAATAATTTTCTAGAAAATTAAAAGATTTTATAAAATTACTTTTATTATTTAAAGACTTCATACTTATAAAAATCTAAAATTTTTAAATAATTTAAGGTATCAATATATGTAATATTTTGCCCAATTTATGAATCAAAGACCTGCAGCCCCGACCCTAAGCCCGGTCCGTTTTAATTTTTTTAAATATAACCGAGCCTGGCCTAAAAAAATTTTTTTAAAATATTCCCAAGCCGGGTCATATTTTAAATCGCCATTATTATCTATAAAAATAAAAAATATATTATATATTATATATTTTTAAAAAATCCGAGCGGGGCCTGAAAACTTTTTTTTAAAAAAAATCCTAACCGGTTCGGGTCTAAAAATACAAAATCCGGGCCAGGCCGTTAAATTTATCTTAGAAAATTCAGAATGGGCCGTGCAAATGGTCCTTGTGCATGTCTCTGATTTAAATAATAGAA